GGAGGGCGGACCGTTTATCGGGAATTGACCCGCTCCTAGTACGCCTCGGCCGAAAGGGAGACCTCGGCTTCCGGCCCGAACACCGGTCGGCATCTCTCGGCCCGATCCGGCACATTAGTCATATGGTATGACTAATCGGATCATCGGTTAGTATTAGTCATTTAATCTTACTAATAAATAAAAGTGGTCCCACTTTTATTATTACTAATGTCGCACCATAATGGCGTGATTTGTTGCAATTCGCTTGGCGAGCACTGCTGGTCCAATAGCAATTGACCCGCATAGTCTTGGCTTGCGCGATTAACGGTCCCTGAAGAGCTTTAAAAGCGAAACAGGTCGGGTTGGCTAATCCCCATCCCCTGTTGGACCTGCATCGCTCTACAAGCAACGCAACAAAGCCTCGGTGAGTGCTTGCGTTGCCTACTACTTCTGCGAGCCTTCGGCTCGCACCCCCCTCCCAACGCGGCTTTGCCGCGAAGGTCGGGGGGCTAACCCTAACCCTAACAAAGCCTCGGTGAGTGCTTGCATTGCCTACTACTCTTGCGAGCCTCCGGCTCGCACCCCCCTCCCAATGCGGCTTCGCCGCAAAGGTCGGGGGGCTAACCCTATGTGGGCAACAGGATGCAGACGCCTTGTTCATGGTACGCACAACTGTTCATGGCACGCATCTCGTGCCACAGGACGTAGACTGGTAGTTCAGCTGAACCACATCATATGAAAGCTGTATTCAATTATTTTATTGCAATGTCTCCTACTGCTACCTAAAATCTCTCACATCTGTCTACGTCTACCTGCACGTGTTCCAGTGAAGTTGGGGGCGAGGGCCATTTTTTTTTGCGGGAGGATTCAGGAGAAAAGGTGGGGCGAGAGTCGCGAGTCGCCTTCAGGGTTCGTCTCCTCACACATAAGGTTGGCGAGAGTCGTCTCCAGTCCAGGGTTCGCCTGGCGTCCAGGTGCGTAGGGTAGGGTTGGGCCATAGTCATCTCCCAGGGTTCACCTCCAGAGATGCGTAGGGTCGAGTGCCATGAAAAAAAAAAAGCTCAACCCTAACGTCTAGGGTTGAAAAGTCCCCCCATAATAAAAAAACAATAAATTGAACGCGAGCGTCATTGTAATAAATGCACGCGTTTCCCAAACTAACGCATGCGTTCGAGACAAAGCGCAAATGAGAATGCAAATGTGACGATGGTTGTGATGGCGTGTCATGTTTGCGATAGGCTGCGCTGAACTCGAATTAAACTGTGGTGGCTTCTCCTGTTGCACTTCATATGCGCTCGGCTACACTCTCCAAGCTTATGAGAGACTCTATAATAGATTCCTGCTATATATATCTCACTATAGTTTGCGGAAACGTACCAAGATTTAGCTGAGACACCTTGAACTAGTTCTCTTTCCTCCGATCTGTTTGTATTGCTCATACTATCTTCATACCTCTAACATAGCCCAATGTCCCTGGAAGCTCTCGAGACGTGTTTTCCGGAGGGAAATAGCCACATGAGTGATCAGGTATGTTCACACTTAGTCGAGGAGAGAGTACTTCTATGGGAGGAGACCTTGTTGCCATCAAAGTGCGGTGCTGAGATCTTTTACGAGTACGTTAGACTGTTAAATTCCATCTATTTGATAAATAAAGTAAGGCCGATTTTCTCCCTTTGTGCCGTATTACTTTGTCTCTAACTCCGCTGGATTCTCGCTCTGTATTGTAATCGAAACTAACTTTCTTACATTTTGTAATATAATTTCAGTTGCCTGTATGATATTTACGAACAATACTCCAGTCGCCGTACCATTCCAAAACGTGTATTCTGAATTTACATACATAAAATTTGGCTGTCGCACCCCGTCAGTCGCCGAGGACTGCCACACGCAACGTCTTCCTCCATCACTACGTCTGTGCACATCGTAATAGGCAGAGGAAGGGGTCCCATCTGGTAGTCCCGCACCGCGAACACATACACAACCCTCCTCACGAACCACAACTGTTTCATGTGGTCGTTGGAGGCTCCCCTCTCCCTCCATGATCCCATACCGCCGTGGGCATGCTCAGACTCGAATCCATCGGTTGTCATCGTCCGTCATAAAGTCGGCATGCGGTGGAGAAGTCAACTGGAGAGGTCATATTTGAGTGAGACTGCGGTGAGAGCATGAATAGGAACTCACTGAACGACCATAAAAACTCTCGCCGCTCGCTGTGGTGGTTCAGTGAAGACGGCTGTTGCCGCAAGAGTTGACGAGCCAGAGGAGGAAGCCATCTCATGTGGTGGTCCCGGACCCCCACCGCACACACAAACCTCCCCACCAAATTCACCGTCCTGTCGCGTCCTGGTGGGGATGTTGCCATCTCGCTCGTTGATCCCGTACCGCCATGCGCAAGCAAAGAGTGACCGGCTTCTCTTCTCGACGTCCGTTAAAAGGTATGCATGCGGTAGAAAAGTCGTTCCGATGGGGGGTATTTGGCTGAGACAGCGGCGACAGCAGCAAATGGACCTCGAGGACAGTAAAAACTGTCGCCCGTGGTAGTGGTGGATGTTCTGCGGATGGAGAGGATGTCGTCGCCATGCTTGATGAAGCGGAGAACGTCGACTGTTCATGTAAAGGCGGGTCAGAGGGCTTGACGTGGCTTGCGACGGTCATGACGGCGGAAAAATGATAGCAAAGACCATATTGATGGTCCTCACAGTTGCTTAGGGTGCTTCTGGTACTGTTGCAGTCGTCGTCAGAGCGCTTGAAGCTCTAGAGAATCTGACGTCGCCATGAGAAGCGAGGAAGGGAGTAATACTGTGAACAGTCGTCCGCGGCATCAAGACGACCGATCCAAGTATAAATTTCATAGCTGAGATAATAGTAGTGGGGAGGCGTCATTCCCTGGGCACTTGAAGCTCCAGAGAAGTCGCCGTCGCTGTTAGAGGCAAGGAGGATGGTACTGGGAGAGACGGCGGCTACACTGCGATGACGACGGACTTGGTGATGGTCTACAGCGCAGTCGCTACACCTCCGAAAGGCGTTGAAATCGTCACTGCTGTGCCAGACGCGCTGCAGAAGTCGTAGTGGGTAGAACTGGGGAAATTGAGGGAATCAGCGGCGGCGGCGAGCAAGGGACATAGACGGGGGCTCTAAAACCGGTCCTCGCCGTGGATTCCAGTGGTCCTGCTGCAGTATATACTGCCGACGTGGTACTGGGAGTCGAGGAGAAAAGTCGTCGTTGATTTTGAAGTGGGGTGCAGTGCCGTGGGAGTCGTCCTGAATTCGCGGGGGAACGGCGAGCGTGGTGGGCACGGGGGAGAGCCGAAGACATCCATAGGAAGTTCCTTCCTTGCTGTAAATGAGCTTGTGAAGATCCTATGAAAATCCGTCAGCTGTAGCAATAGAAAAGAGATGTGCACGCACCAAAAAAATCCCAATCGACACCCACGTCGATTTTGCACTCCTGCCGCTTCACGGGCACCAAAAAACACATGCCAGGTCGAACCTGACATGCTCCCAATCTTGTAGTGAGCTCGCCGCATCGCCAGGGAGCGAGGCGACGCGGCCGCAGGTCATGGTAAGTGCCAAGTGGCAATTTTCCCGGACATGCCAAGTTGGGCGTCGTACCCACGTGGCTGTTTGCCGTTTCGCTGCCGGTGATCTCGCGATGCAAGATCACGATGCGACTGCTCCCTCCCGGTGAGCAGTAAAGCACATAGCTCAGCGGAGGTGTGGTCATGGTCCTGCACCGCCGATGGGAGGGTGAACCTCCTTGAATAAGGGCATGATAGGGCCCAAACAATGGCCAAGGATACTGATTATCCATATGGCGTTTGGCCTGGTTTTCTTTTGGTTAGCAGATGCAAGCTGGAATCGAGAAGGACCAATATTACCTGGTGAGTAGCACGGGGCCCTGGGATGAGTTTGGTATCAAAGAAGGACGTGCCAGTACCATGGCGGCAGGTGGATCCAAGGCGAGACGAGACCGGTATGAGACGCGCTGCGAGATATAAGAGCCTTCATGTTCTTGGACGGAGGCAAGTCCCAAAAATCCGAAAACTTGTGCTAGCGGTAGATGGCTAATAGCCCTCTGTGAAGAGCTGGTGTGGGACTAGTAGATAGCTTGAGTTCGACGCCAACCAACAACAAAGGAACGGCGAATCGTTCCCAAGCGCGAGTCTTCCATTCCGAGAGCGTATTGGGATCTGGAAAGGCTTCAGCACTAGGGGAGAAAGGCTGAGGGAAGCGGGCTCACGTCTTCTTCTTCTTCCGCATCCTGACTTGCATTTGGTGAACGAGACGAAACACCAGGATGGTGAATCGGCAAGCTGAGGATGGAGTGGAACGAGGGGCGACGTTGCATCTTGGCGAGACGTGATTCTGGCATTTGTAAGCAGATACGAGAACAGTGTGTGTTTTGGATAGCCCAAAGAATGGCAGGTACTAGGTCATGTACCGCTGCTCCCTCTAGAATCTAAAGATCTCCATGCGCTTTGCTCATAGGTCGAGCGTACCGCAAACCGGCTCCTATGGAGACAAGAAAGGCGAGCAGAGATCCCCGTCGGTGGTGTGATAGGGTACAAGACCCAGCAACGTATTCGCCTTTGGCGAGAGCCTGTGTTAAGTGTGCAGATCCGGGGAGAACGGTGGACGGTATTGTCCTCGAAAAGACGAAGTACTCGGAGCACTACACGCCGTGGACGACGAAGAGTGCTTTGAGAGTTTTGAGAAAGGTATTGCCGGTTCGTACGGTGCACCACTGTACAAAGACGAACTGATGAGCAATCATACCGACAGCCGAAACCTAGTTTACCTTATATCCTCCCTTCTCGGCAGTCTTGGTAACGAAGCGCAGTACCCTCCAATGAACAAGGTGGTGGCGACGTTTCCATGAGAAACGCGAACTAAGCTTTGCGTAGAGATGGGCACCAATCCCCGTCGAAATAGTTCGGACCAACACGAGCGTCGGATTTCGAGTCGGCATGGAACGACCCAGCGTCGGTTTTCCACCAAGCCCTTGGTTCCGCCGAGCCACTTCACGGCATCAGGCGCCCATGTGCCTAAAGGTCAGCAGCAGCATACATTTTGAAACGATGCCTGCCACTTGGAGAACGGAGAACGGCAAACCCAAGTTGATTGATGAGGAAAAACGGTCGGCATGGGCTGCATGGGGCAGGGTGTTCACTACGGAAACAGGAGTCGCTCTCTTGAGTGCCTTTATCGAATGACAAATGAATCTACATTTCTGGATCAGCAAAGAGTGACCTGCAGGAGGGCTAGGGACATACTGTTGACATTTCCTCCCGCTCTCATTCGAAATGCCCTGCTGGATTAGAAGGAATTGTTCGTTAGCGAGGACGGAAAAGGAGGTACGATGCGTATCCGTCCAGGAGGCGAAGAACAGGTGGCGCTGGACGAACGCATTGTCGAGAAAAACCTTGAGATGTCCATCACTAACAGCAAATAAAGTTCTCATTCCGAGTTCAAATCCGCATAATCTGCAGGTTTCTTATCAGAAGGACGATCCCAGGTGCAGGTGATACTACGTACTAACCAACAAGTCCCTCTTCAGACGTATGACGCATCCTTACGAAGAAGATCGAAGTGCTACAAGCAGGAGAGGTCAGTATCGCGTCCACAGGGAGAACTACATGAACGTACTAGATTGCGAGTGGATAGACGCACGTCAGTCCGAGCGGGACGTTGGGTTAGCTTATCTATGAAAGGTTATATAACCAGGGATTGAGAGGCAAGAACAGCGCTGGTTGGACGTGAGAACGTCAACCAGCTTCAAAGCGCGACCTCGGTTTGGTTAGTCTACGGGATGAGGAAGGGTTAGTGGAGTGAAATGTGAGAGCTGAGCGTCGACTTCGGTACTGTAGGGGCGGATGCCTAGTAGTTGGTGGTGTATCCGCGCGTTTGTGTTGTACTAAGGATGGATCGTTGTCCATCGAACGAGGGCTACTTGCTTAGTGAGTTAGGTAGTAAAGGTCGCTTGGTGGTGCATCCACGAGAGTATGGAGAATGATGTTGGAACAAATACATTCCAAACTTGCTAGAGTTAGGTGCAGGGTAACCGTGCGTTGACAGAAACTTAGTAGGAACGGCAATAACAGCAAAACGGAATTTTCATTGACCCCAATCCACACAGAGGATGCTATTCATCTATCTGCTCAGCACGAGTTAGCCGGGTATCCCTAGGGTAGGGCGTTGAGACGCACCAATAACGGCCCTTCCTCCGGCATATGGCCATCTAGCGGAGCTTGGCGAATAGCTTGGGGGCGGCGCATTCCTACAAGAAAGATGTGATATGCTGGGGTGAAGGGAGAGGGAAGGCGAGCGTACGTCGACGCAGTGCATCATGCTATTATAGGGAGGGAAGGGTCACGGGTCGTGTCACGGTAGGGAGAACCACATGGACGTACTGGACTGCGAGTAGGCAGGCGCGCGCGTGCAGTCGTTCAGCCTAAGTTCACCTATACCAGCGGGAAGTGTTACTTACACCTACGCCAAGAGCATCAGCACAAGAGAAGAGAAAGAGAAGAAGAGAGCAACGCACAGTTCCTCAACAGTCCTCGCCCTTGAACCCCTCGCCATTCGAGACTTTTTCCTGGCAATACTCATAGTGCTTTGCGAGAGCAGCGCATTTAGGAGGATTCCTTGCATTCCTCACGGATGACGGGGTGGATTCTATTTCGAGGCGTCAGGTTAACACTAACCAACAGAGAAAAAAGTGGCTCACGTCTTCTGGCCTCTCTTCTTCCTCTTCCTCCTGCTGAACCTCTTCAGCGGGGGACTCCTCGGGCTTGTCCTCAGAGTCACAGTGGGCAGTAGGCAAGAACGAGGAAAAGAAGGACGTGATGCTGCTCATCGTGTGGTGGACGTGGTAGGAAAGAAGAAATCGGAATCGGGGGATGCCGTGGGAATGGAAGCCGGGTTGATTAGTCATCGGTTTATTCGGCCCGTGAGCAAGTTGGACTCGAACGTCGATGACCAGCACCCTGCTGCTCCGCTAGGTAAGGATTCTCCCTCTGTCTGGCGCCTTGCACATGTCGCTGATAGTGATATCCAAGGCACATGACCGGTTCCACGCTCTCATATCGATTCGCCTGGACTAACGCTTTCAAACTCGACTTACTCTCCAACGACCACCCATATTCCTGCGATGAAGCCGCCCTCGAGCACCGCACGGGCCACGACTACCCGCGATATGGGATCTCACGACCGGGCATAAGTGCTCTGAATGATCCCTTAGAGGCGCGCTGTTCACTGGGATGAAGCTCAACACGGATCCAGAGTCTGAAGCGAGTATCGCAGCGGCGTTGGGTGGGTACGTTTTTGTTCATCTGATGAACGACAGCTAACTTGTACAAGTCACAGATAATCGTTCTCCTGCTTTCGGACGACACGGAAATTTTGTATGGAATCCACTTTATGGACATCAGCCTGCGAAAAGATCTACCTCGATGAAGGAGACGACACGCGAGCACCCGTCCTCCACCTATTCTAAAGCCGCTTATTGATCTGTACCCATAGCACGACCTCTGCCCGCCCACGGCCCAAGTCATCGTTCTCGTTCTCGTTCTCGAACCCTTTGAACAGCTGGCCGGCGTTGGATTATGTTGGAAGGTTGGCGTGGGAGCCTATAGGCGGCGGCATGCAGGTAAGCGTGCTCTATCTTTCCTAAACATGCCTATTCATCTCCTCCACTTACAGTGTCACCACTGAAGTCATCGAACGCGGATCTCCAACAGAGGCGTTATCCTGCTGTACTGCACTCGACATTGTGTACAACCGCGGCATGAATTGGCGCAACGATCTTTGCCATGGATGCAGCACAATAAGTGACGAAACACCGGTCGCAGTTGTGTTCCCCGTTCGCTCAATCCCACTGCCCAAGTCCGCGCTGGCGATCTGATCACCGAGTGGATGGCGGGGTGAAGAACTGGGAAGGGTCTGGTTTTAATATACCCTTCGTGGTGTATTGGCTACGTCGCGTTCAAATATCAGGGTTCGAATCCCGCCCGAAGGATTCGTGTTTTGGATAAGTGTGTTTTTTCTTCCTGCGTGGAAATTAAAGTCGAGCACTACTATGTTCGAAGTGTTATCGCTTCTGTTATACCCGGCTTTTTTGGCTTCTTTCTTTAAGGAGTCCCTACATTATTCAAATTCTCATCCATCATGTACCTGTAGCTCAATATGTACTCCAGCTTTCCGTGGTTCGATTCCGCGGATGGGCTATTTCAAGGTTCAAAAACTCCCGACTTTTTTTACAAGAGTGAAAAATCTGATTGCAAAGTAGTGAAAGTCGAGTATTTCTGGTGTGTAGGTGAAATTCGGGATTGGTATCCACACCATGATCAATAGCAGATTGTCACCGGAATTGGAGCCGCGGGAGTGATTACCCGCGCTCAAGCTTCATTCTGTTCTCGACAAGCAACGTTCGTATGACCATTGGTTATCGCTCACTGAAAAATTTTAATTTTGATGTAGTGTTGACAAAAAGTTTTAGTCGACGGTGCAGGTCCCTCGCCGAGACGAAGAGTGATTCTTAAACTTGATCGTGATGCGAATAATAAACAGGAAGCCGACGGTGTTACATTTTTCTGTGCGGATTCGAACCCAAGGCATATATGCCACAAAAGCGTCCAACACGTCGATCTTAATAGACTCCGACATGAGGGACAAACCTACCAAAAGTCGGGCAGGTATTAATTGGAGTATATCATAAAGCTAGAGATGCAGAAGCGCTTGACGACTTGAAGAAAAAGTTGATATACTTATTCGACATTCCTTCGAAAGGGATTCCAATCCGGTAAGTTAAACGTAATGTACCGAGTGTGTCACGAAGGGCTTATTCAATATATACAGGGAAGACGTTACGGATCATGGATGTGACCTCAGCGAAAATCGGAGTCATACATTGGTCCCTGATCTAAAGGTAAGTAGTAGACGATGATCCAGATCATTGTCTTGGCGTCATGACATGTTTGTCAGAATCGGGGAAGGTCTTGGAATGTCGTAGCTACCTGCTGAGGTGACCGACACGTCTGGAAGATAGCACAAGGGACGTGGTCTGAGTCGCATTTGAATTTATTCATATGAAATCAGGAGCCTCCAAGGGTGCGAATACAGTATGACTTGAAGTGACATGAGCTGGATAAGACCATCATTATTGGTACGCCGAGTAACGTTATAAAACCCACCAAGAAGCGAGATAGAACATTGAAGGGACTTCGCTTGCATCACAGAGGGCTTACTCCTGCGGAATCGCGGAATCAATCGAATGTTTGTGTGAAGTTCACGTACCAATGACAAGTTGGGATCACAGACTAGTGTTTTCAAAATCAGTACGCGTGAAAAACTGGTGACAGATCAGGCCACCCGAATGGATTCATATAGAAATACGACTCGCACCGTATAACTCCTGCCTTGGTGGCAGGAATAGTGCAGTAGCGTTGTTCTATCAACGCGTAATGTAAGTACAATAGACGCCCACTTACTAGCATCCATGGTCCGATCTTGAGGACGCCTAGAATCGCATATCTCTTTACAAGGAACGTTGCCAGTGCCAGGTTCTATAATTGGATTTCGGAAAAGAATGGCATTGCGAGCCAGTGTGATTTACGGCCGGCAGAGGCGCGTTGATTACCAAAGCTTTGTAACTTTAATTTCCGGGCTCTCCTCTCTCTCACTCCGACCTTGATGTTTCCGATTCTATCCGCCACAGTCACTTTCCAGTCTTTCACTGATATGGTCTGCATCGATGCTACACCCTCTCGCTCGACCCTCTCTATCGACTCCATTGACTATCGATGGCGCGGATGTGTAGTGTTCCTGCACAACGCACGGAACGGTCACCCTGGTTTACTTTCCACGAATGTCCAGAGGATCGAGAGATCCGTGTTTGGGTTGAATTAGTTCATGCTGGTGAACTACTGGGTCTCTGGATGAGCGCGTTGCTGAGGTTCACTGATTCTCCAGTGACGTAATCATCCCTACTGATTGCGCCCCGACACGTTAAGTCCCGTATCCATCATCTCCTCCTGCTCTCCATCTGAGCAACAGATGGTAGGCCTCTTTCAGTCTCACCTTTGTACTCCATCAGAGGCACATTTTCTCACGTACGGTGTCGCCATACTCTCCTGATCTCCTCCGTTACATCTTTGTGTCTTCTTCCCTGAACGGCAAGGCGGTTCGCTGAGCAAGCCACGTCGTATCTCCCACTTCCCTCTTCTGTGTACTGCTTTATGGCCTTCGCCCAATGATTATTGACGTACTTAAGTGAGAGTGCTATCACGCGTCAGCCCAAGTCCCATCGGCGTTGATTGCCGATTTCAAAGTCGGCCAGGTCTTACTCGACATGTAACGCCTGGCGCAATACCCTCAGGGCTCCAATCCAGTTCCAACATCCTCATCTATAGGCAATCATTATTTTGGATCTGAGAGCATTCGGAGCAGATAGTTATAATAGGTGTGATGCTAGTGAGCGGAGCGGCTGCTTTGTTAATGAGATTTGATCAGACGACGACCGACTTCCATATCATGCCCGACTTCCGTCCGGCACACCAGCGTTTCAGAGCATCCTCCCAGATATATGCCCTTCTCATCGTTCTAGGTGAAGAATTCATCCGTTCATTGTGTTCTTATGCTAATTACGCTCATGGTAAGCCCGGCCAAGGTTTGAAGGTAGCGCGTGCTATTACCAGTCCGCCTGTGGAGGTTATTGATCTCCAAATATCCTTCAGTGGAAGCTGCATGGCTAACCATCAACATCTACACGTCGAGGTACGGGTGGCCTTCCTCCCTTTGACATTTCCTTACTCACGCTCTAGCCTCCTCAGTTTCGCGCTCCGTAGTAAGCGCGGTGCTTCATCCGCTGAATATTCTCAGACGTGACACATACTTCTCAGTGAATGATAACCTCAACCCATGATCGCACTGCTTTCCCCTTGTGCATTTTATTCCCATTGTATCCTACCTACCAACTCACGATATTAATAAAACGTCTGATCCTTTTTCCTAGCCCGTTTGCATATTGTGGATTATACGACTAGAACATTCCCTCTACTGTTTTGTCATTTCACCTCGAAGGTAAGGGGTATTCTACTTTCATGCGCCATGTTTGGTAAATAACATATTTCCTCATCCAGACGGGTAATACACTCTCAACGCTGTGTTCCCAGTACAACGTTTTGACATCAACACCGTTATATCATCCTTCGTCGGAGGGCCGGCATGTTCAATGCATCTGGTAGCACGACTCGTTTATTAGAAGAAGTAGGTCGCTTACCGTCTCCTCCTTTCCAGCCTGCGCCTCATAAGCCTTATCTTAGCATATTCCTTAGGAAAGAGGTCGCGTATTCCTTTTCCTAGATATAGGCTACGCCCTGAAGTATGGCCCAAGTCTCGCTTTTCCTTCTCACAAAACTAAGCTTCTCCCAGGTCGGCCTCTCCTGTTCTTCTCCCACTTTCGTCCCCGTACAGTCTCTCCTGCTCTTCCACGCATGCCGCACATTACCCACACCACGATCCCCTACAGCCCTTTCCAGTGTAGAGGGAGGCTCTCTCTCGTTCTACATAGATCCTTGGATCTGTCACAGCGGTACGAGTGCCCATGTTTGGTTTATCTCCAAACACGAACGGGCTGGGAATAAATATCAGTGCGCGTAAATGCAAACGGCGTTTCTGGATTCACAGACCTCGTCTTCCCATTCGACACGTTACATGGATCTTCACTCGTTTTCGATCTCGAAACCGGCGAAGGTAGCACACACTACCATACAGCCAACTATCGTGGCCATGTCGCTCCGCGAAATCTCCAGTGGAAACTGCGACACAGATCGTCTTCGTGAGAACGCCCAGCAGTGGGTCACTATGATTAGGCCGCACATTACACTGATTAGTAGTTATCTCTATTCGTCTTTCTTATTACTGAAGCCACGCCATTCACGACCGAAAGAATGGGATTCACATCTCAAAATGCGAGAGATTTCCTTTTGAAAAATAGAATATAGATAAAATTATAGGGATACACAACAGTGATGCGCAATGAAGAAGATTTCCAAAAGTTCCACAGAGTCCATTCGGTCGCAATCATAGTACGATGAACATTTCCTATTGCTGGTCGCGGACAAGTTATAGGATCTGGGTACGTTGCTTTTGAAGTCGGATCGTTGTCGTTCAAGAATCAACGCACCGGTTCAAGTTCCTGCGGTGGTGCCGTCATTAAAGTAGCATTAGTAAATCTTCTCATTGATTTCATGTGAATGCCGCCGTTACGATTCGAAGCTACGACTTTTGTTACTTCCCAGGTCGGAGTTCGAGCGCGGTGGGATGGGCACTAGAAATTCAGCGTGGTCACCTGCGTGGTACCACGCGTGCGTGGTGCGTGGCCACGCATGCCACGCAAGTCCTTAGTTGAACTTGAGTTGAACTTACCTCAACTGTACATATATACTGCGCAATGATAAGAATGATTCGCTAAACATATACTTGTATCGATTTCTTATTCATTGGTAAATTTCTGCAACAAACAGACCTTTGTTTGAAAATATTTCAAAGCTTCAATTTTGCCAATTAGAGGTTTTAAACCTTCAAATCTCGGGTTCCTAGGTACCTTACATCTTATATGCATCTATCTATGATTGTGAGAAGGATAAATATCGAAATTTAGATACTCTTTCATTTTCCTAGCTTGAAGTCATTAATTCGAAGACATCACGACGTATGAACATTAATTCTACGTTGATTGCTCCTTGATTGTGCCAATACCACGAAATTAGACATTGAATTTCCACAAGAACAGCCCTCCCTTATGTACGGATATACCCTGGACCACGCAAGTGACCACGCTAGCGTACCACGCAGCCACGCAACCACGCAGCCACGCAGGCACACCACGCAGGCTGACCACGCACCGCCACGCTGACAAACCACGCAACCACGCAGACCACGCAGGCACCACACAGACTGATATAAGTTTGGCCTCAGAAAGTGTATCATTCGTATAGTTGCCTCTTAATTCACTTGTTTCTTTGGTGTCGTTCATATCAAGTATAGAACTCCGTATTCTTCTCATCATGTCTGCTCGACTGGGAACCCCACATTGTGCACCTTATTGCTTCTAGCTTGGCAAACCACCTCTAAGGCCTTTTTATACTGTTAGGATACTCGTGAAATTATTTACTTCAGCTACAATACTTTTAATGTTCTTAAATTTGGCAATCTAGTTTGAAGGATATTTTTATGATATGGACCATATTTTGAAGCATTTTAATATCAAACTAAAGCTGTTATATTTAAACCTTCAGGAATTCACAATCCAGCTATTCTATGCAAGTACTAACAGAAAAGAACAGAACGCGTCGACTCAAGTCGCGTTTGATAGACTTGATCAACTTTTGATCAAAGTCCCGTAATTTGTCAACCACGCTAACGACCACGCACACCGGAAATCTAGAAATTTAGGACATCCTGACTATAGTACCTATACCTAAGTTTTCGGAAAGTGAATGAGACTTGCTGAAATTTTGTCCGATATCAAAAGTTCCAAGATGGCGTGAAATTTATCTCAAATCAAAGAAACAAGGAATGGATCACGAGATTCCGGTACTCGAGCCGAAGCTAATTGTTCCCAGCTACCCTGAATCAATGCCGAAAGCATTTGTTTGGGTACATATTCCGGTAAGACCAGTACCAAAAATGTGAGTGTTACCGAAATCCCGTCCGAAATACTTTATTTCGGTGTCTGTGTTAGGCAAAGCCGAAACTAAGGTTTGGGGCATCTTGGGCCGGAACGGGGTCCCAAATCCTAATTTTGGTATACTCGATGTCGGCACGGGTACCAAAGGTCTAGGCATGCGTTCCGGGCACCCACAAACCTTAGGTTTACCATCTGCCGAAACTTTGCCCTGAACGGAGGCTTTCGTCACTAGTTCAGGGAGCTCCTGAATCTTTGCTTTCAGAACTTGATTACGGCAGCCTGGATTCAAATCCGATATTTTACATTCTGGAGATGATTCAAAGCCTCCTTGAACCTTTTGTATGGCTATCAGTATCAGTAAGTCCTATTTTTCACATGAAATCTTAGGTATAGGCAAGTGAATCAGACTCTCTCAAATTTCCGTATTCCCGGAGTGACGCTGATGACCACGCAGCCACGCAGCCACGCTCCACGCAGCCACGCAGGCTACCACGCCGAATTCTTCTTGCCCCGGTGGGATGCATGAGAGCTGGTCCGGGAATGTTGATCGCCGCGATTGGTAATTTCAATTTTTAATCCGCTTTCTCATCTCTTTCATGATTTGGTTACGTTGAGCCTAAGTACTCTCTGATGGTCTATGTCAAACCACCTGCCCTCTCTCCATAGGGTTCAAGGTTAAAACCTCATAGAACATGGAACGTTAAACTTGGAATCGGAAGGACTGAATATTGGAGCCGGTTGGGGAGCGGTGTAACGACCGGTCGTTGCGCATATACCGGCTTTTTCGCTGCTGAAATTGATTAGGTACAGATCCTTATGGATGTCTCCATCAACAGTCATAGATTCATCGATCATCTTGGTCTCTCGGCAGTCCCTAACGACCCTTGGTCTTGATCGCATTACGATTATCCAAACTCGACGCATCTTCACCCTCCCGGTAATCTGAATCAGGGATATTTCGCCAAGAGCCTTTTCCTTCTGCTTTCTGTCTTCACTTATATCTCAGATCTCAGATCTCATGAAACAACCACTCCGCCAGACTTGCTCTATTACCGTGATGATCTCATCGGGCATGTTTCTTGTCTTTACAGCAATGCAACCGGTCCTACCCGCCCGTCTATGCTCTTGTCGTATGCTCTTACGCTCAATGCTTCTGTAAGTTTGACTGTAAGCGGGGATTCAAAGTGATCATGTGTTGGCCTACCGTAGTCGCATTCGCCAAAGTCTCGAGCGGAAGCTCCGCCCCTTGATTGTCTTTAGTTAGGCCATCTTCTATGCCTTTCGTGATAATTTGATTAACAATATAACGATGGACTGTTGTAAGCATTCTCCTTCCAATCTCAAGATTTTCAACAGTAATAACGCCCTGCTCATTCATAGGAGGACCAGGCCCTCAGCTGACGATGGTGTTTTCGCTTCCAAGTAAGACTTCGGATGGTTGTGACGGTTTACTTCCAGTGAGTTATTGACTTCATCCGTAACCATTTCATATGGCTACACCTGTTGCATTTCTTCGGAGCCCATTGATCTCAAGTATGATGCTAAGAGCAACTCTGCTCTCATCCATGTATCACCCTTCTTAATCCATGTGGACCTTCATTCCGAACGCTCGGGCAGGAGTCTCCGTCCGTTTTATTTTGCTTGTAGGATGGTCTCGCTTTCCCGTGTGTCGCTGTGTGTCGCTGCGTCATCCGGCTCTGTTCGAACAGATAGTAAACTAGCATTACTGTCACCCGTCAGCCATAAAACGCGCCATTTCAAGATCGGTGCCATCGAATAGCGGATTTTCTTCACCTTCTGGTATGCGCGTTCGTTCTCATTTCGCGTTTTTGAGCTCTGATAAGCACTCCTTGATAGTGAGCGAGCACGCCTCTGTCCTTCCGAGTGATGTTCACTGTGCGATGCAACACGTTCATTTCGGCGTTCTCGCCCGTTAACTGTCTACTTGGTCTTCCGCGTCAACCTCCGATGTGACCGGTAATGTCACCCTTCGAGATGAGGCTATACTTCGTGTTATCTCCTTGCAGCTCTCCAGGCAGGCGGACTGTATCGCATCTGAAAGGATTCTTTTGTCAACCAGATGACTGACTTCTGGAAAGTCGGCCACCCGCATTCATCCAACATTCTACTGAAGAATATCCCTTGCATACAATAGACTCGTTTGCAGTGCGTTTTCATCTCATCCTTCAGTCCTGTACCATGTTCTCCTTTTAGATTGGTTTGCGTGTCTTTTTCTGTGACTCTGCCGGCGTCTCGTGGGAGGCATCGTTAAATTCACCAGTAGCATGGAAAACGTGAGTATCACTTTCTCAAAAAACGAGGTTTTCAGCCTGAAGGGTTACAGGGCATGCAAATGATTCGTATCATTCACGATAATGGAAGGACCATAACCTTACCGTAAGGAACTGAGCTTTGACCGTGGTCGTGTAGCTAATGTCTCGTGCTTGTAGAGCTTCGAGTGTGTTTCGAGCGTAGCTGCAGGAAGGAAAGAGACCAATATCGCGCGTGGACACATGCGAAGAAGCCATATATTCTCGGACACAAACCTCTTGCTTATTTTTGATCACATTCTGAGCAGATGTACTAAATATAGCTGTGCCCACTATCCAGCATCAGTGGAAGAGTTGAGGAATGAAAAGCTACTAGTATGTGCATTCGGGGATGCGTTGAACTATTTGCTATCCCCGCGCATCATTTTGGCCATCCATTTATGTCCCACGCTACCTCTGCCCGATATATCCTCCCAATCTCTTCGAAAGCCCAGACACGGGCCACATCACACTATGTTAAGAAAGCTTATTCTTGAATTTTAAGCCTATCTTCGTTGTTTCATTTCTCTGTGTCAAATATCCCGCTCCATGAGTACAAGTTTCAGAACTTTTTGACGGTCTTACTTGAATGTGACCACAAATTATGTCCTCGTAGCTTCGGTGGGGCGCGGTCCTCCTGAGGTCCAGGATCATCACGGACAGGTGCAGTGTTCAAATCTCCTCCTCGGAAAGATCAAACAGGCTCTGAAGAAGACAGGCAAAGGGTACCTTGGCGTTGACCGTGGTCGCCGCGTCAGTGTGGGTCCCGGCCTTTACAATCGCCAAGCGAAAGGACAGACAATATCGCCATTTAGATCCTTGTGTAAAGAGCGACACAGCATTTCCTGTAACGGTTTAGATCAGAAGGGGAGAATGCAGTGAAAGCGGATGGACTATCGTATTAACGACTGATCGTCTACCGATTCTATGGTGCAAGAATCCTAAATCAATGGCATCAACAGGTCGGCGAGACGTAGTTCCTACCGAACTCAAGGCCGAACTCTTCGTTGATCTATGAATTAGACGGTGACCTTGGTTTCTGTAAAAACTAGCATCAGGCAGAAGAATAGGTAAAGGGTATTACGGACCCAAAGGAGGGGGTCAAATTCAATAGTAGTTCCAGAAGGTCAATGACTAATATCATCGGTCGGAGCATCTTACATTTACCCTCAAATAGAATGCCAAGGAAATTATGCTTCAAACAAGGAGCACATTATTGTACTCCCCTCTGCAAGGACACTGTAAGGACGAAGGAGCTGGCAGCAGAAGACAGCGGTCGCCAAAAAATGCCACTTTTTGTACAGAAATAATGGATATAGAATAACCCTCGATTATTTCTGGGCAAATAAGGTGTCCTGTTTGTCGACAAACTACGTTATTAATGACCATCAGTACGAATTAGAAAAGAAAGGGGGCTATGCATGATCGCCGTGATGACGGGAAATGAAGGTAATAGCTACCACTGAAATAATATAGATGGATCGGAGTTACGTACCTGTATCTCATTTTTTTTTTTCAATTGCAGCCTTCTTAGAGTGAACTCTTCTCTATCTGTGCGGAGAAAAGAGTTCCGAATGTTAGGGGCATTGCAGAGATTTTCTTTTTTGCGTTTTGGTGCCACCTACTAGTGGCAAATAAACAGCATACATTGATGTAATTTCTGAGAACCAGTAGGTACTCCTTTTGCTTGTTGTGAACAACAAGAGAAGTCGAGTAGAGAGCCAGACCATAGTGACATAACCGTCGGTTCGACAACTTTTGACAAATAGATTTGAGCCGGGGTGCTATTACTGAGTGTTGGATTTAGACAGCACGACCGGATAGGTATAAAGCTTGACAAAGGTCGTAAAGTGAGAAAGAAATATTTTTCCCACAGGGTTTTTGAACGAAGAGGGGAAATGATACGATAGACGAAAGCGGAAGGAGTGTGACGGTCCGTGACTTTGGATCCTAATTGCGTCCTTCACTTAGGGCTCTAACAGTAGCCAAAGGCAGCCCCAAGAAACGTTTCCAGCACACCAAAATCTTTGGATTTGAGATCTTCGTACCATCTTCATCGTAACATTCTGGTAACATTGACACCGCTTCTTTCTAACAGCTTTTCGCTGAAAGAGACTGCACCAGATCTTGTATGACTTCCACTACTTGCATGTTTACTTGATTATTATCACTGTCGCTTCTAATCTTCCTGGTTCGATCAGTTCTTTGGACGACTTACTTGGCAGACCGAGGCCAGGGTCAGAAGTCTGTTACGGACGACCTTATACAACCAACACTCCGGGAATGCGGAAATTTGAGAGAGTCTGATTTACTTGCCTATACCTAAGATTTCATGTGAAAACAGGACTTACTGATACTGGTAGCCATACTAAAGGTTCAAGAAGGCTTTGAATCATCCCCGGAATGTAAGATATCGGATTTGAATCCAGGCTGCCGTAATCGAGTTCTGAAAGCAAAGATTCAGGAATTCCCTGAACTAGTGACGAAAGCCTCCGTTCAGGGCAAAGTTTCCGCAGATGGTAAACCTAAGGTTTGCGGGGTCCCGGAACGCATGCCTAGACCTTTAGTTCCCGTGCCGACATCGAGTATACTAAAATTAGGTTTTGGGACCCCGTTCCGGCCGAGGACGCCCCAAACCTTAGTTTCGGCTTTGCCTAACACGGATACCTCAATAAAGTATTCCAGACGGAATTTCGGTAGCACTCACATTTTCGGTGCTGGTCTTGCCGAAATAAGTACCGAAACAGATGCTTTCGGCATTGATTCAGGGTAACTGAGAACAATTAGCTTCGGCTCGAGTACCGGAATCTCATGATCCATTCCTGGTTTTTTTGATTTGAGATAAATTTCACGCTGTCTTGGAACTTTTGATATCGGACAAAATTTCAGCAAGTCTCATTCACTTTCCGAAAACTTAGGTATAGGTACTATAGTCAGGATGTCCTAAGTTTCTAGATTTCCGGTGTGAATAATCATCCACATCCTAGCGCTGCGGGTCCTATGTAAGGTATCTGTGTGCTCTCCGCAGGGACGCTTAGGAACGATCAGTCCTCTACCTAATTTTCCGTTTCTCCATTTATTCTGCAGCCGTCCTCAATGCCATCATGGAGTCAGCATCCGCATCCTACGTATACTGGAGTCTCATGGAGGTCCGTGTAAGAAAACAACACCGTTTCCCGCCGTACTGCGTATCCTACAATGCGTTCAGCCTCATTCGGAATCTCTTCCCCCTTAGCACCTACCAACCTTCACTGGTCACGAAGACGATATGTGCGCAAACAATATGTTGTAAGGAATCCACTAGTGATTCTGCTGGCGGCGGACGACGACTCGTGCCTCCGCTTGACACAGAACAAAGACTCGATTGATCTGGCTGACCCATCCTCCTCGTAGGACTGCCTTCATCCTGAAGGCTCACGTTGTTCGAGACCACATCCATTCCAGTTCAATGATCCAATGCTCGAAATTTTCCAATTTCGTAAATCACAGAGCGAAAGAGGAAGGCCTCTGGCGCCTTCTTCGGTTACACCTCTCAGTGTCGAGAACTTCCTAATCCTCTCCCCCGTCAGGCTTTTTGTTCTACGCTATACTCCCCTGGCATGGACCTTTCAGCAGTGTCTAATCGGCTGAATGATCCTTTTGTTAATACAGTGAGGTTCGCAGCCTTGTGTAGCATAACCTAGTTGTTCGTAATGCTCTCTTTGAGCACATTTGGGTAGGACCTGTTTCATCTCCGTCTCACCTGGCTATCCACATGCCAGTGTTCCACCGTACAGACTGGAATGTTTGCAGCCTTGTGTACGACAACCCAGGTGTTCGTAATCCTTCCTCAGACTCGATTCGTTTCACGTCGTCTTAACCACGACATGCAGTCTCTCACCGCATCTACAGAAATGTTTCTCCTATCACCGATGCACCATTCATATCCTCAAAACCATTCATCAAGTAAACAGATCGTGATCGGAGTTCACTGTGGCGACGGTGAGTCTGTCTAGCAGGCCAGTTCCAGAGGAGAGGACAAATGGGCCTATGTTTCTCAGTCAGAAGTTCTCACTCACGCACTTGGCTCCCAGTGATCTTTGCGTAAGATGAGATGGCTACCAGCTCGGGTATTGAGTGAGAAAGGATGCTGTGAGAATGCTCAACTTTACTTATCACCCAAACCGCATCGTCCACGCAAACATCGTAGCAATTTCATCTGTCGCGCGCACTTGACATTCGCGTCGTTTTACCTTCCTCTTACTAGTGCAGACACTTTCCTCAGGATTTGGCGGGAAAAGTGTGAATCCGCTTTGGGTTCCATCGCTCCTTCAGTGGTTCACTATGCTGCACAATCTTTGCGAGCAGCTGCGGGCGGGCGTCAACGCACTAACAACTCCGATGGATTCAAAGTTTTAAGCATTACATATGTGTGGGTATAAGTACATGTGAAGCCAAGAAGTTGCGTTTGACAGCGAAGCTTGATCTCAACTGAGGACTCGGAGAAGAGGTCCGTACAACAGATGAAAGCTGAGACCTTCAGTTTTCCCATATTCGCATTTATTCGTACCACGAGTATTTGTGTCTCCAAGTACGCCAACGCAGCTGGTAGGGTACATTCAAATCGGCGCCCTCTTCATAATAGCAACTAGGGCGCTCGCGGGCTCTACGCTGTGACCGGCGATTAGTTGTCCCCGGCCGGTGATAAGGACTGCATACTTCAAGCAAAGCATGCGCTATCCGTCGATCCGTTATAATTACGAGAACATGATGGTGGTACAGTGCTTCCGAGTTGTTGGTGAGATTCCAGGGACACACCTCTGTCGAGGGGGTCACTATCTCAGCGCTCAGATCTCCGGGTCATTTGTATGGCCCTTTTCCCCGTATTCAGGATTGAAATTTAATGGGTTTTAAAAGTATTTAAACCAGGGTGTCGTGCAGGTTTAGGGCACTCGGCTTTGAGTTACTGCCTCGCCAACTATTTCCTCTATGAACGCCTTCCAAGTGCGTATCGCTAGTGTCATTCATAGCGCGTCAATCCTCACTTCTCTAGGCTGGTACACGCGTGTCGTTTTTTGACGCGAACGGACAACTCGTAACCGGTGTCGTAGAAGCGACAAGTCGTCTCTCAGACGTGAGTTTGTCGCGTTTGTTTAATGAACGAAATTCTCAGTCATGTGGTACATAGGGTACCCAGATGGTGCTCATCAAGCGCGATAATGGGGGTACCGTGACCCTACCGTGAGTAGCCAGCTTTCTACCTGAGTGTTTGCCTCTCATGAGCGTAGAGCTGCCGGGGTCTTTGCTATTAATGGATGAAGAGAAGGACGGTGTCACGATAGAGGAAGGGCTATGTACCCAATCATTTTCTTGATTTTCTACCAAATGTGGGCAGACAGGTATAGATATCGCTGGCGATCATTTGTAGCGAGTCGGGCCAACCCACTGAAATATCCATATGCATGTCAGGGCGCGTTGTGAAATGCTAGCGAGGTCGATGGATCTCAGGGTTGTTGCTTTCTACCAGACAAGACTTTTTGTGTCTAGGAGAGTCATTGTCGTCTCAGATAATAATCGTCACTCCTGCATGAGCGTTAGAGCGGCTGAATGCAGCCGTCACTACCCGTTGTTGAAAATAGTTTTCCATGATCCTATCCCACCCTTAAGGGAAGTAAGTGCAGTGAGGAAATGTCGTTAAGTTCTCGGGTTTGGAGGAATACACTGAGACTCCCGTTATGCCGGCCATCGCCGCTTTCGGCCTTCACATACGATGACGAATCGACCGAGCGAGGACCTGCCGGGGAGACTAGAAGATCATGTACCAGAACAGTAAATTATTTGTAAAAAAAAAGCCGAACTCGATTCGCAGTCTGGAACATGTCGGTCTGAAGCGGGATGTCTTCAACGACATTATACACAGTGGGTCGTAAAGTATACCAGTACCCGTCAGCGCATCATCCATTCAAGCGCCATAGCATCGCCTTCGGCGAAGACAGAGTATCACATTTTTGGCACCATACGACGCGTAAATGTGAGAATAGCGCTCGGAGACAATCGGTCGGTGTCGTCAAAATGGTCCGTACGTTCCGGAGAGAACGAGAAGCGGTAGGAAGGGCGCTGACAACTGGCTCATTACGTTCCCTTTCGACTGCAATGTCTTTGAAAAAGAATGTGAACTGCGATGAGATCTCAGCGTTAATTTCCGGTAAAAATTAGAATGTTCCAATCCTGAATTAAATCCCAAACTAAATGGTTATGTTCGCGGTGAAGGCGGGGGAGTCGGGAAAAACAGGATTGGGCGTTCCGTCACAGAGAAACTTTGGTCACAGCAGCCGGCAAAGGTAGTCTCAAAATAGGTGATGATAAATAGTCACATAGCGAAGTGGGGCTGATCATAAAGTAACCGCTGGAATAAACATGCACAGGAACAGGTGGGTTTGAATAGCAGTGTAAGTCCTGCGCAGCGCTCTGGAAAATAATAGCCCCAATGCAGGGTACCTATTTCGGACGTCGCTTCCTCTGGGGTTCGAAGATGCACGGTGGATAGACTGAATTGTAATGTACAGAATATCATCTCTTATGCGTTTCTGAAGCGACGCGTCTGAGCTTGTTATCCTGATCACAATGAAGAGATGAGAAGGGGATGTTATTTTTAGAGTCTGGGAACCATTAGCGCGTCGTGGAAGGAATAAAAAGGCAAGCTATTCGACGTAAGCGGAAAACCGTGTTTCTACCATCAGACGCAAAAATATCGTAGCGAGAGAATTGCTGACTACAACAATGGTTGGAGCAGAGAAGGCACTGAGCACTAGTGCAGTCGTACCGCCGAACGTATAATTTTTGAGCGCTAAAGGAGAGGAGCGCGATGAAGAACTTTCTTCCTTGCCGCGAGAGAAAACAGGATATAATTGAGCTTTAGACTCGGAAGGGAACTTTTCTTCGCTCTGAGAAGAGGCCAGGCCGATAACAGGATAATGATCTACAGCTAGTAGTCGAAGGGCGCCAATGGTATCGGATAAAACGCCCGTTAGGATGGTTCGTTGAGGACCGTGGAACATTAAGGTTATCATTGCATCGTGGAATGCTGGCAATGATGAACGGCTCGCTTGTTCTTCGATGACCGAGATGCGTCGTTCCTGTGAACAAGTTAGACGTAGGAACCCTTCTAATAAGCGAAACGTGGTACCTCTGCTAATTCTGAAAACACGGAAATTCAAATCTCATTCGTCGATTTGGATAGTAGTGGCGGAAAAAAGTGTGTAGGTAAGAAAATATGACATTTCTGCCATCATCAGCGCCGAAACGAAAGAATTAGACGAGTGGTGGGGGTTCAAACTTTGAGAGCTAATTGCTTGTGTGGAGAAGATAACTTAGCGAGACGATTGGTCTGTGGAGGGGTGAGAGAAGGAAGCAGGAGTTGTCGTTGTCGACGCGTCTTAACACTTTGATCTGATAACCTTTGGGTACACGTAATGAAATCGCCGGATCCCTGTTGTTCCGCTTGTGAATTTGAAATAAACGGGTCTTGTGACTGTAGTGTTCAAGTAAATCGATGGTAGACAGTGGTGCTTGAATGTCTCGACTGAGAGGGTTAGGTACGAGTGTAATTGGAAACAAGATGCGTGTGGCAATTTCGGATGGTACAGCTTGCAACAGGCTCTCGGTAGGCTCGTTTGGTAGCTTTTGTCTGGGTTTCATTAAGGGCGGTTAGGTGCCTGCTTGCCTGAGGCAATGAAAGAACCTTTGTTCGCTCGTAAATGGAGTCGAAGGAGGGAAAACAGAAGCACCAGCGATGCCTACTTGTCTTAGAGCTTCTGGATAATGTCCCGAGTCAATTCTTGTTAGAAAATTCCGATGCGCAGGTTACCATTCCCCGGTCGTGGAAATGTCGAACAAGAGCCATCGCCGATGACGAAAAAGCTGGAGCAGGCAAGATGCCGTCGCTTCATGCATAACGGCACCGCGGAAAGAGATGGAGAGTCATTATGCGCGAGAGGAAACAGTATCCAGTCAGCGCGCCGTCCATTCGGCTCCCTTGCATTGCTGACACCAGGCAACGGGGTCTCACTCTAAGTTCGGGGGAGAATGAGAGCGGTATCAAGGGCGCTGGTGTGATATTCCCATGCGGAGAACGAACTGGGATGAGACGTCAGCGTGCATTTTCGGGTCAAGAGTGGAGTGTTCCAACCTTAACTCGATACGAGCTGCGCGTTCCTTCACGGTATCGGTCTCGAAACAAGCATTGGGTTGGGGGAACTAATTCCTGGGTAGCGTTACTATCCCCAGGGGTACTTATTTCGGATTTCGCTCCTCCTGAGCTTATGGCACAGTACACGAGAACCGAAGGTTATTCCCAGAGCCAGGACACCACAGCGTATTGTCTAGGTACGCCGGCGGAAATACCGTAGGTGGATGGTCGTGGGGAATGAAGATACTGAATCACACAGCAAGAAGCTCTACGCGCTCGTATGTGTTCAACAAAGAGGGTGCCTGCACTGTGACACACCTGACCCTTTGGAGCTGGGCGTGCTGCGGCGGGCCTCTGAGTGGGTCGAATGGATTACCATGTGAGTCTTAGGTGCGGCTATTTGGGGGAGTGGTGCAGCTTCGTGGATAAGGAAGGTGATTTCAGTAGAAGCAGCGTTATGGAAGTTAGAGAGAGAGAGAGATGTCATTCGGTGTAGGACACGACGATATCAGAAAGACGTATTCGTCCTTCCTGGGGGATAAAGCACGGTGTCAGATAAAGCAGACCTGTCATTCCCTAGAGTCGACAGGAGAAGGAAGCAGGAGTCGAATGCCTCAGTGGTTTGATGTAATGGGTTTGGGGGTGAGGGCCCGATCCTAGGCGGTGAATCCTCGTTCTTCTGCTTTGCGTCTGTAAAATAAACAGCGCTAGAGAATGTAGCGTTAGCATTGAAATAAATCGGCGATGGACAGTGATATCAGAAGAGCCGGTGTTCTGCGTCCCGGCAGAGAGAGATAGTTGTACGGGAACGGGTCAATTTCGTTAGCGAAGATTAAGCGACACTGAATAGTCAGATCTTCAGATCTTAGGATCGTACAATGTGGCCTTGCGTAGGCTCGGAGGGGATCTTTCTTGTGGTCGGAAAGGAATCGACGTGAAGAAAACAAGAACAAGGCGCAGGTGTTCTAGGATATTAGCGAGAGCATCTGCCCATCTTAGACCTGAACGACGTGCTGGATAAGGTCCCGCGTCTGTGATCGTGAGAAACGCTGAGGCACGGATTACCATGCCCGAGAGTTGGAAATCTGCCACGGCATGAACAAGGGCGACGATGCTCTCAGTCGACGAAGAAGCTGGACCAGGCAGGAATGTCGTAGCTTCATGCACGATGCGAAGCAGGAAAAGGGTGCGGCAGAAAGGACAGTGTCGCTAATAAAATGTGACATTTCTGCCATTGTAAGCGGGAGAATTCGATGAAGGGACGGTTTCCCGGTGCGAATGGCGCTGAGGAGAGGTTCTTGGCGGTGGTTAGCATTGAACAAGGGCCTGAGATAAATATCGGATCTTGCAGTGAGCGGGAGTTGTCCATAAATAGTCGAGAGTAAAAACAAACTCCTCGTATTGGATGCACGTCGACAATTCGCTGCCAAGGAAAGTGTTAATGAAAAAGCGTACGGCGATTGCGGGTATCGGACCGTATTGATCCCACGCACAGACTACGTGATGTAATCCAAAAGCGGTGCGATAATTCAACCTCCGCTTTAAACTGGAGTCGGGCCCAACGTAGGTCGCTCGCTCCTATACAACCACCACCAGCGCCTGCTACCTACACCTTCTCTCCCTCTCTTACGCCCATGTCTGAAATCCGAAGAAAGCTCGTCATTGTCGGTGATGGTGCTTGCGGCAAGGTTTGTCGTCTCGTCTCGTTGTCGCCACTTGTGACTCGGTGCTGATTGGGTGTGGTAGACCTGCCTGTTGATCGTCTTTTCAAAGGGGACGTTCCCTGAAGTGCGTGGCCAGCGCTAAAATCCGATAACGAGTACTGATAGCCGTTGTAGGTGTATGTGCCTACAGGTGTTTGAGAACTACTGTTGCGGACGTCGAGGTGGACGGGAAGCACGTCGAGCTGGCGCTTTGGGATACAGCAGGGCAGGAAGACTATGACCGTTTGCGACCGCTGAGCTATCCCTGACTCGCACGTCATCCTCATCTGCTTTGCCGTCGACAGTCCGGATTCCCTCGATAACGTCCAAGAAAAGGTGATGCCCGCCGTGTACTGGGGTTGTCTCGTGTGCTGACCCCCCCGTAGTGGATCTCTGAAGTGATGCATTTCTGTGCCGGGCTGCCGATTATTCTCGTTGGGTGCAAAAAGGACTTGCGGCGTGATCCGAGGGTGATTGAGGAGCTGAGAAAGACTAGCCAGAGGCCTGTGACGCCAGAAGAGGTGTGTTCCATTCTGTCTTACTCGTGCTGTGTACTGACTGATGCTGTTCTTTCTTCAGGGCATGGCCGTCGCACAGAAGATCAACGCTAGGCATTACCTCGAATGTTCCGCCAAGTCGGGTGAAGGCGTGCGCGAGGTGTTCCAGTATGCAACCCGTGCGGCGCTCCTTAGCCGTCCCGGGAAGAAGAGGGGCAGTCACTGTGTCGTCTTGTAGAATTAACCCTGTGTCTCCATTTTTTTCGTTTCTCATGATCCATTTTCACTCATGCTTTGTTTCTCCATACCAATCTTCGTAGTTATGTTACATTCAATTGACGACGTCCACTACAAATCCCCCAACCGCCGTCATCATGGCTAAATTAATTCAAATGGCGTGGTTTCGCTGCTTTTTTACGTCAGCGTGATGTCATCATTCACTTCCGTGTCTTGCAACGATCTTGTCTTCTTGTTCAATTCAGCCACGCGCGTAACACATGCTTCTGATGATGTGAGTCATTTAGAGTCATTTACAAGCGATATACCCAACATGGATAGCCGCGGTATGCTTCCTTTTCATTTACAGACCTATTTCTTATAGTTCTTTTCGGTCAGATGTTCTTCAATTACGCTAAAAGTATTTGCGAGGGTGTATTTTGAACTAAACTTTTGCTTTCATGCCCGAGTTCTGCGTCACTGTTCCCTTGGGTACGCTATCTCGTTGCTGCACTTTCGTACCCTGATTGAGCTAGTCGTAGCTAATGCTATACTCGGGTACGCCTAGGGCTATCCACCAATCAGCCTCTCGATCAGGACCAAAGGACGACCGATAAGGATAAAGAAATGCTTCCGACGTTTTGTTCGTAACTCTTTCCGTCCGATGTCTCCTCATCGACACCTTATATGACGGATTTATTACGATGCAAGGCAAAATACCCCACTGCTGTATTGTGAAGACCAATGCGATCAACTGATACTGCGAACCAGGTACTCGCCTATAGTCTCGAGTATGGCTCTAACTAAGCGCTCGATGGGTGAGATATCTATCAATCTATTAAGTTCTCTCAAGCGCTAGGTTGATTTCAGCTCGTCTTTTTTTCGGATAGCTTTACTACTGGATCCAGAGCCGATATCCAGCACACACCCAAATTTCGCTTCAATCATACGTCGTCTGTAGCTTCCCTTGTTGGCGGGACGTGCATCGCGTGTAGAGAACGACTGAGCGATTTCGGCTCCAACGCAATGTCGTCGCTTATACAGGACAATGATCTTATTTCAGCGTGACCGGATCCTATTCTTTGAACGTTCTCTTCTTCCTACTATCATCTGCGATGTGACCCTGGCATTCCGCTTAGCATGTTCATCGCCTCAATACGTTCGTGACCAGGCGCGCCTCTGTTCCGACATCGATCTTCTCGGTATGGCACCAAATGCGGCTCCTAGCGAGCGCGCTTCGTTCTCGCGTTCTCGTGGTTTGGTTTATTCGGACCGGCAGGTTCAGGACATGGCTCTTCTTGTACCAAGTTCTTACGCAGGTGGATGTTGTCGAGGACGTTTCATCTCATTCATTCGCGATCGAATGTATGCCTTCCCATCTCATTCAATGGATGTGATATCCAGGCCATCTCTTTCGCTTTCGCGTTGGCCTGTCCTTTTTTGTCTCGTTCGGCGAGTGTGATCCAGGGCCAGAGCCGATATCACCGCGTACCCAGGTCACGCTTCCCATAGGCGGTAGTGGTGGTGTACGCAGACTTTCTCTACCCTTTTCATTCTCGTGCTAACGGGGATCTTAGATCGATAATTCCAGCCCACGCGTTTAGGGCTCTCACACGATTTAATCGTGCCAGCATGCCGATACGGGAACACCGTCCTGCTTCACCATGACCGAATAACTCTAGCCTTCCCCTACAGCGCGAACATTTATCGTTTCAATACTAGCTCACGCCTGTGATTCTCGGATTTGTTCGCATCTCTCTCTCCACGTGGCATCGGGACGACGTCTAATCGTGGCTTAGCGGTAACGCCGAACGTGTTTCGAATCGGTATCTACGGACCATGGAGCGCAACGTACCACTCGATATACACGACGTTTACTATCGATGCCCTATCCAGAAATCGCCCCATCCACGCTCAGGAATGCGTGAAAAGGGCGGTCTTTACTCGATAGCGTCAACTAGGCCAGAACAATCCGTCTCAACTCCCGCATACTACACTAAAGTGGCCCGTACCCCACTGCTCTCTCCCTCGACCCTTATTGAACGTACGAACAGTTCAAGTCGACTTTCTTAGGACCCCCCTCTTTACCTCCTTACGTGCCGTCGTGCTTTCATCCCACGTCCTTCTGGAACCGATAATCTCCCCGCACCGTCAAATTGATACCCTGCCACACGATGTGCTATGCACAGAGTGGGCCATACCGCGTCGACCGCTTAATCGCTTTTGCCAGGAGGAGGGAATCAACACGCCCGAAAATCTCCGTATCGTCCTCTCTCACGCACATCGCCTCTTGATCCTCGCAGGACGAACAATCTATCGCGATCAGGTTCCAACGTCCTCCCAGTGCCGGAGGACGCTTCATCTCATTTAGGTACGGATGGTCTCTCCTTTCCATTCAGTGGGCGAGATATCCATCCATCTCTTTTGTGTCAGCTTGTCCTCTTCTTGCGGATCGTTTCTGCGAGCGAGTTCCAGAGCCGATATCACCGTGCACCCAGGTCGCGTTTCGACTATTTACAACAATAGGTGATGACGTGTACACAGATTCCCTCCCTTCTCGTTCTCATGCTAACGAGGATCTCAGACTGATTGCGAGCTTAGGACTGGAATACAATATGATCGCTTCTGCATGCCGATACACGAAACTCGTCTGTAGTCTCGAATATGGCTCTAACTAAGCGCTCGATGGGTGAGAATCTATCAATGTATTAGGTTCTTTCAAGCACTAATCGATCGTTTGCCGTGTCAGCCCGTGTCTTTTCGGGGGATAGCTTATCGTTCCTCAAGTGTACATCTAGATCCAGAGCTAATATACAACGCGCGCCCAATTTTCGCTTCGAACACAATATGCGGCATCCCTTCCCTTCTTGTGCTAACCCGGCGCGCCTCTAGAGAATTACTGGACACTAACACAATATAGTCGCTTCTGTGTGCGGATACGGTTTCACTTATGAATGAATAATTCGAGCCCTCACCTTCCTACCGGCTACACGCCAACCACTATGTTTCCTGTATTTTTAAACGCTTAGTATGCCTGGCTTACGCATTCCTCGATAGTACTTCTTGGCAGGTGCGTTACGTTCTCCCATTCCCTCGCCTTGGTTTATTTCTGACTAATAATTTCCTATGAAGGTGGATACCCTTGGCGACGCTTCATATTGGACTCTGACGCGATATAGTCGTTATGACCGAATGATCCTGGCCCTTACCTTCCTACGGCCTATAACGCATGCCTCCATTTCCCGGGTTTTTTTCAATGTTGACTCGCATCTTCTCGGTATAGCGGCAAATGTGGCTCCTCGATAATACCTCTTAGCGGGTACATTTCGTTCCCCCAATTTCTTGGCTTGGTTTATCCTGACTGATACGTTCAGGACAAGGCTTCTCCTGTATCAGGATCCTACGCAGGTGGATACTCTTGATGACGCGTCATCTCATTCACGGACGGACGGACGTCTCCCCTCCTCATTCAGTGGGAGAGATATTCATACATCCCTTTCGCGTCAGTGCCAGCCTGTCCTTCTGCTTCGTTCCACGAGTGTGTTACATAGTCAGAGCCGATATTACGGCCTACCCAGTTCTTGCTTCGACTAGGTCGTACGCGAATACTCTTCCCTTTTCGTTCTCGTGCTAACGGGGACCTTGGGCCAATAACTCCAGCGCGCGTGTCTAACAATATGATGTGCCGATACAGGGTTATGTACTTCTCATCCGTAGTCTCCTGTATGGACCTAAATGTTACTGCGCTATGCATCCCTTCTTACCGGGCACAACAGCTTTCGATATCCTGTTCTGGTGCCCTGAATTTGACGGGTTTCGGGGAGATGGAATGGTGTTCCTGCTGTGCGTTTCAATACTCCTGATAACGATTCGTTGAACGCACAGCTCACGGTAATCCCCATTCTCATGCTAAGCGCTTGATGGGTGAGATATCTCTTCGGTTCTTTCAAGCGCTGATTGATTGTTGATGCTGTGTCATACTTTCTTTTTTTGCGAGATAGATTATCGTTCCCCAAGTGTGCTACTAGATCCAGAGCTGGTATCCAACGCGCCCCCCAATTCTCGCTTCATCCGTAGGACGTCTGCGCCTTCTCTTGCTAATAGGGTTTACGTATCCCTCAATAACACTTCTTAGCAGGTACATTTCGTTCTCCTATTCTCGTGCCCTGGTTTATCCTGACTGATAGGTTCAGGACAAGGCTTCTCTTCTCCTGCTGTGTCACGCTTCTATACAGGTGGATCCTCTTGATGATGGGTTCACCTCATTCACGACCCCTACTCATTTAGTGGATCAGATATCCATCCATTTCTTTCGCATCAGATGTTCTTTCTTTGTTTCTTTCCGCGCGTGTGATACAGAGCGGATTTCCCCACGAACCCATGTCGCGCTTCTCATAGACGGTAGTCGTGTACGCTGACTCCCTTCCCTTTTTTTTCTCATGCTAACGGGGATCTCAGACTGATAACTCCATCGCTGCGCGAGCCTAGGGCTCCAACACCAATATGATAACTTCTGCATGCTGATACAGATCTTACATTTCACCATGACCGAATCCCACGTGCCACGCCTCTGATTTCAACGTTGACTCGCATCTTCCTTGGTACCTCATATCTCCCGGCTTGGACATAACTCTATTCACTATCATTACTCGACCAGAAATCGCCCTGTTCGCGTTCAAGAATGTGAAAGGGTGTTTTCTCTCCATGGCATCTCAACTACGCCAAAACTGTTCCTCCCGAATGCGATGGTAGAATATTTGGGGATCATGACGTATTGACCGCCAGTTCCATCACTGGTGATGCACTCCTTCCCTCCCGTTCTTACCTTATTAGTAGCGCAGACTGAACTTTCAGTAATTCGAGTCAACTTTTCCACCGAACTACTCAACCTCGCTATCCTCCCATTGGAGTCTTGTCATCACTATCTTACTTAAAGAAACTGATCTCCCGCTCCTTCCAAAATTTGCTCATGCGACTATGGTATCTGCTTAACTGGCTGAGACCGACCATTCCAGCTGCTTACCTCCTCCACCCTTTTGCTCTCTAAGCGAGCCAGTTGTTTGCAAATGCCACATCACCTCGCGTAGCGAGATTTTCGCTACCACGCTCACCTCCAGCGCCTTGGCCTAAATTGACGCCCTAGGCTTTACCTCTTACAGATCCTTTGGGAGGAATGCCGTGCCTGATCAGTTCAATACCTGCGCCGCCAGCCCTGTATTCCTAATGGGAGCACCTACGTCGCCTTTTTGCCTGGGGATAATTGAGTACCGAACATGCACCTGGGTGATTTCGAACCGAAGAACTGTCACCGTTTCAAAACTCATGCTTTTGCATTTCTTTAATGGCCGGGGTATGAATGTCCGTTTCGCGCGGTCTTTTTGACCCGTTCATTTCTCAGGAGGAAACTAGAGCAGCTCCATTCGCACGACGATTTATCTTCCATTTCCGGATGTTGTTCTTGGACCCGTTTCGATGTGCTACACCTTTTCCCCGTTTTCTTCTCATGTATGCTACTTCAGAGCATTTTAATCACGTTTTCTGGTATATCTTTTCGCACGAACGGAATAATTTATCAATACTGGTATTTGAGGCGTTGGGCTTCGTGGGGATTTACTGGCATGACAAGTGTTGGTCCGTAAAGCGTATTTTGGTGTTATTATGCTCTGCTATAGTACTTCCTGAAAATCTTCAAGCCGCGAATGTGAGTGTAGAAAGTAAAATTTTATTTTCGTCGACAATATCCAGTGACAATTATTTAAGGATGTCCGCCATTACCGGTATATACGGTCGATACGGCTATATCGTCAGGCCTTCCAGGGGCTGTTATACAGCACGTGTGGTCCGCGTAAAACGGCGGCTTTACGGCATCCACAACAGGTTGCCCAAAACGTAAATGCTCCCTCTTGCACAGCCCTCATTTCCTTGATATAACTTCTTCACTTTTCGTACCAACATTTCGAATTGCGTTCCAACCCAACTACGCGTATACCATTCGAACAGGACGTCTTCACAGTGTGAAGGAGCGGTATCTTTGCTCAAATTGTCCACGAGTTAGTCGATTGGCGCGAATCCACACGTTGTCACTTTTAGCCTCGAAATTTAAATTAGACTGGGAACTATCACTGCCGCTTCCGTATTGACTGTAGGCTCGTAAACGGCCGCACTGTATCATTGAGCCTGCTCAATGGCGTCTTAATATGATACGAGAATGTGTGATCCGTAACCGTCACGGTAGACATGTACGATAGACATTCGTACAATTGACGGTCATGGTGAAAAAGTTTGGTAAATGCTGGTCAATCGGTTGCGTAACCTATATCTATTTTGTATAGGTAACATCGGAAGCAATCTAGTCAGCCATATTAAGGGCCTTTAGCTATATGGGCTTTATCCCAGTTGTCCTCCCCATCTTCGACATTTCCTCCAACTAACCAGGAGACACACTTGCAGCCCTAAAACCATACAGAGTTAGCAAGCTACCGTTATTAAAATTGGTGTGTTTACGGTAAAGTTATCACCCCTCCGCTATCGCGCTTGACAAGAACCATTTGAGTACCCTGTTTTAATCCGGTTCAAAGATTCGTAAGTCCTTCAAGGAAAGGGGATACTTACATCTGCCATGTGACTCGTGGACTCCACGACACCTCCCACAATACGCCCCGACGAGTCATAAAACAAGACGCGCGAGCCAACCTAGAAAAGGAACACGGTCTTAGTTGACTTCGACTCTGAAAGATGCGAGGAGGACGTACAGGAAATACGTTCATCGGCGAGATAGTCTGCTTGTGGGATAAGTCAGGCCCTTTGGCTAACTTAAATACCATCTTTGAGTGGGTCAACAACCATGCGTTTTAATCAAGACAAAAAAGTGGATACGCAACCGGCTGCGAAGGAGAGTTTGGGACCAGCCCTTCAGGGACAGTGTCAATGCTGGACTATGTGAGAACCCGCATTTTGCAGGCCCGTCTCTGATCGATACTCACTCGTGCTGCGAGGCGGGCCGTTACTGAGGCACCGAATTTTCTGGGCTAGAAACTACAGCTCGAACTATAAGTATTGTACATTCCCCCGCTTAGGAGTTGTTCGAGATCTTCTCACGAAAATATTAAATCTTCGGTAGTGATGCACACGGAATGGTTGGAGTAATTCAACACAGAGGCTACCGTATCGTGTTCATCCGGCGCATGGAACTGAAAATGCCTTCATAATTCCAAGAAAATACCTGAGGGTGTTGCATATTAGCCAGCCCTTGACCGGCCCCATAGGCGCTGGACCAGAGGGCAAGTTTCAAACGAAACGATGTGAATGGTGCATTTATAAGACAAACCGTCACAGGATACGTACATAGATAGCCCGGGTTATAGAAAAACTGAACACACCGTCTCATATGTGACATCCCATAAGTTTTTCGCCACGCCAAGACTGGTCAGCAATCGTCTATGAAGCCTTGATGAAGCAGCCACGCGCGACATGCCATGGTTGTATCAGCCATCTCCGGGGTATAACACGCCGAGTTCATCTCCATCCGAGAATTGATAGATGTCCACGACTTCATTCGTTCCTTGTATTTAATCGACGACCTATTTTTGTAGTCATCGCAGATGCATACGCATAATGAATTAATATCTTTGTCCCATCACAGCGGCGCAGCTGGCTCCGATCAACCTGTTCATTGTGTCATGCACTCATGCACTTTGCAGCTGTTAGAATAACGTCCGAGATCAAGAAGCCGAAAGCAAACTAGACTGGGAGAGGCTATGGGAGACCGAGAACTGTATCCCGGCCACTCATGTTACTCGTAGCGACACTTTATACATTAATTGGCAATAACGCTATGTTCATAGAAGAAACTAGATTGTTATGAAGATTTCACAATGTCATCTCGGATGGGCCATTTCTTCTCGTGCCTGGTTATCTGGGTTTAAACCTTCCTCCGGGGCATCCATCCATTACGCAATCCATATCACCCATATCTGTTGCCCATTCTTTGTGTCCTAGTCTACAGCTAAAATCTAGCTGCTTTGTAGGTCCTCGGCATCCTATAGGGAAGGAAATATATTTAGAATAGGATGTCACTAGTAAATGAGAATTTCAACCAGGGACTGGTTATCAGTATCACGAGCCTGACGGGCTCGAAACTGTACAGCATAAATAGGTTGACTGTGTAGAACAAGGTGCGTTCTGGGTATTTACTTGTATCGAGTGTCAATTCATTCTACCGTTCGATAGTTGGGAATGGGATATATTTTGGTGTTGGTATAATTCACTGTTCAAGCAAAACCATCACCGAGGACTCAGGACAGAAAACGGTGATTCTTTCCCTGCCGGAAAACTTCACCGTTGGCCGAGATACCCTATCTCCGTAATAAAAAGTCAGACCTGATTACAGGATCAAAGATACAATATAGACCGGAACAGTGTCCTCAGAATATCAATAACCACAACTGCATCAGACATTTAAATTGGCATGGTGCCGTTCGAGATTCCTATCTGCGACAAATCTGCGTCGTGCTGCTGAGGTAGCGTCTCCATACGGTTTGGTGACTGTGGTATGTTAACATTACTGACTGACCTCACTCAATGGATAGCGTTCTGCCCGGGCATCTTTAATTATGACTCAAGACGCGTCCGATGATCAAATGAAAAAATTTGAGAGACCTTTGGGATCCTTACGTACCCTCCACTCTGAATAGCTTGATCAGTTTACCCCTACAATGCGCTGAATTCAATGTCTGCCCAACTTAATAGAGGCACCTAACGAACGAGAGCCCTGACTACAAACATATCCTACCTAGAGTTACATTAGAATTAAAAGTGCTTCAAATTCTGATTGTGTGAGAAAACAACCGATTCGTTTCACAGACTCCTGAAGCTGAAGCAAAGTAGCCGTGAGCGAGACTCCCATTGATATAGCTTCTAGATCTCTCTGGAAGCTAATGTAGTCACCCCTGACAACTATTGACCGAAATTGAATTTCCACGTCTCCTTGAATTCCCATCCTTCGAAAACAGACATCATATCACCGATGATTTCTCAGCGACCACCCACCCCCATATGTCGCAGAATGAATCTCCTTGGGTAATGTCCGGGAGAGATCTGAGATAAGCTATGGCGGTGTACATTATCCCGGAGAGAGGGGGGTAGAAGCTTCTGTGAGAGAATTCGAGTGTTGTGACGATATCAAGGCTGTCTAACTTGTCTGTGAATTGTAAGAGAACGCTTCGACAAGGACATTAATTTCTCAGAGTCATCATCAAGTCGTCATGCTATTCATTATATAACTGAAGGATCCCTGCCCATCCAAAAGTACGGTTCTCAGGCAAATTTTCCGTTCTATGAGCTGAGATCTCTCCAGATTCTGAGCGTAGTACTCTGAAAAAGGATACGACGTGTCTAATGATGATTCAATTGACAGCCAGTAAGGCCGTACTATCCTACGCACTCTAGAATCCAAGCATCTTGTCATAAACCATGATGCGAGCTCAGAGCCGTCGATCTTGAAGGCGCATAGTATATGTGGATTTGGAATGCAAGGGATGCAGTAATGTGCGCTCCTCTCACCCTGAGAAACCTACTTGTGAGTTCATACGCGCTAATAACATACCGCAGCCGGGCCTATTCAACTCTAGGCACTTCCAGGAGAAGTTGCGGTGTCCTACACATCAGTCTGTGACGTCCAAGGAGTTTAAAAAGTCGGTGAGATAGCTGTGAATGGAAGCAACGAAGCATGATTGATTTTTCGGCGTATCGAGAAGGTTTTATCTTATGAAAGATTGAACTGGTGCGGCATACATCATCACGAGGCTGAACATCTTCCTGCCGCTCCATCTCAGCAAAGAAACAATTGAGATGGTTCTCCAATCTGGAGATGTTTAAGCGACCTCGAGAGGAAAAGTTGGCGCTTCGTTTCATGTGTAGTAATCAGCACCTTGTATAAATAATAGCAGTTCATAGAAACGAAAAAAAAGGTAACGAAGAAAAAAGGTATGAGTTGAGAGCCTACATGTCAGCAAATACGCGGAGGGACGAACGATGGAGATAAATGAGGGTAAAGAAGATGAATCTCGTGAATGATCGAGGGTGAAATCAAATGTGTGAAACGGTAGAGTACGAATTGGATATTTCCTTGAGTTGCACGCTGCGATTGTTTATCAGTAAGACTTGGAAGGGAGTATATTCATGTCGAATAAGACGGTCACTGGAATAAAACCGAAAATTCTGTCTCGTTGAATAACGTTAGTACTTGGTTAATACAGTTGCCTAGATTTGTCTCCGGTAGTTGTTTATAGGACGGAGAGCATGATAAGGATCTAGATAATTTCCCTAGAGAATCGATGACCGCTGCATGCCAGGCATCTAAATTTATATGACATGGGTAAAGTTTCGAATCTGCGGTTGACCGTTTTAATTATGGATCAATACGCTCCCGACGATCAAACAAAATTTTCCAAGGTACTCTAGATTCTTTACGTAGTCTCCACTCGGATAGGGCAACCAAGAATCTCACATGACCCTTACAATGCGCTGTATACAATATAGCCATAACCCGATAGACGCGTCTACCAGTTAAATCACGAGATCTCGACTACCTACCCATTCCCCTCTTTGTTTTTGGTCAGGCGTCGAGTAACAAGTTGCCGTGGGTTTGTACTCGATGGTTGAGTATACTGCTACTGCTGCAGGTGGGAGATTGTACTTACAATGGCATCCATTCAATGATTGATATGCAAGCTCTGAAACGTTGATAGAAACACAGCAGTTTCAGAAACGCGAGTATTCCATTCAACAGAGAAACGACAAGGACCGAGTCTCCATGGGTGTAGTTATGGTCGAGACTTTCACTATCAACAGCCCTTATAGGAGTAACTATTCGACTTACACATTGCATTGATTTCTCATCGTCACAAAGTAAGCAGGTTCCCTACACAGGAATCGCTGCATTTTTCGCGTGTGAAGACGTCTTTCCTCAGCAGCCAGCCTTTCTATCGGTGGAGACAGCATGTCCGATTTGATCTGTCTGATCTCGGAAAGTGTTTTGAATATCAAGCCAGCGGTCAACGAATCCATATGCCTGCCTAACAGACTCGGTGATGCGCGGAATGTCCTTGGGGGTAGTCGGTTGTTACGCGTGTCCAGATAGTCTGCTGATTATATAAAAAGATTGATCACATTGAACACATATTTGAAATGCTAAGAAATAAACCATTTGCCCGTTGTCAGTCTAGCAAAGTGAGGAAATTGTCGCTAAGAAACGCAAACTGCTTTCCTGGTTTCTTTTCGGCTATAATGCTAACCATGGTCCGGGATGTGAACGTCCTGTAGATTTAAAGTGCACAGGGATGTTATCCATTTCGTATCAACCTTTCTTGCTCTTGTATGCAAATACCTGGAAAAGCATTGCTTGGAACTAGTTCCCGCGAGGATTGGGGTTGGGCAAAGAATTGCAAATTCAATTACGAGAGAACTTTGATTGGTCCTATTTGGCAAAGTCCCTTTTCTTTGCCTCGATGACTGGATCCCCGCTTTTTCTAGGATGGATCATGTCCATCTTGACAATATAAAATGGCGTGATGTCACTATATTTTCATAATACATCTATATCTTCCAGGCCGGTTCCCGACCCGCAAAATCACTGTTCGCAATGCCCGCTCACATTCCTACGAAACCATTTCCTTCACATCTCCACAACATTCTCTGTCTCTCAGAGGTGTACAATTCTGCGGGGGAGAATCTTATCATCTATGCGAGAATGATGTGCGCCAGGATAATGGCATTTGGTATGGGAGGAGCTAACAATGGCGACGTTTGCAGAGCAGTATGTCTCCTTTGTAGGAATTTATATTCTTTATATTCTCGCCTACTTATTCTTGAGACCTTAGGATGAGCTTCAGTTTTCCAGCCATCCTTTTTGTTCAATTCTGGGCATGAAAAAGTTGAAGGATTCGACATTGGATTGCATGCCACGATTCCGATGTTACCTAAGGCGCAAAGTATAGCTGTGAGTCATTCCCACTGGCTTTTTTAAAGACTGCATGTGTATTGCACAGACTTGCACAGATGCAAAGGCGAATGCTAATGTTCGGGCACGCTATCGATTTTTGAAAAGGGCTGGGGTCGATCCGATACGGAACTTTTCTTGACTCTCATTTTCATAAGCATCTGTATCCGCTCCTTTGATTCCTGTCTGCTTATTATTGATGGCAGTGACAACTACTCCCACCGCCGCTAACTAAGGAGTGGGAAGATTAAACACTTCCGGGAACTATCTTCCTCGTCTGAATCTGTGTTGTGTACCGTCAATATGTGCCTTGGTTCATATAACTTGAAAGCCGGGAAGGTGCCCAACAACGCCTCTCGACTCCTGACCGGTGACTCTTTGGTAGAAATCTATGTCCTCACACCGCGCGTCAACCAACCGAGCAAGGAGTGCTCATGTCGGAGAGAATTCTACATCGTTCATCGATGCTGCTGGCTTCGATTGCGAGGACGACGAAATATTCGCCTTCCGGGAAATACACTGCTTTGAATACGAGTCGGTTCTCGAATTGCCCCTTCTTCACATATCACCGTTCAGTGATTATCACGGTCTACGGTCTGTCCCTCCGGAATCACGTGCGCATCGACCGGGTCCACCCGCTGTTAGTCTTGTCCCGCATTGCGCAACTACTTATGACTGGCTGCCTAGCAAAATCGCTCTGGGACCCATGGAGGCTGCCTGAATTTTCGCATGTATTCCGTGGCCCCATATGGAGTGCCATCGAGCCATCGTAAGCGCTGCAGTTCTGTCCTGTATCACTATCGTTAATCCAGATTCCAGGAAGAACAATTGATTGCTTCGTTCTGAGCCGTTCAAGGAGGACGCATTGTTACCGATACATTGGCTGTGTTCGTATTTCTCCAAGATCGCATACTGGATTGCCAAGGAAAGTCTTTCTATGAGGAGCCACTGAGTTTTAGCCTGTCAGTTGTGCTGCGGTATCTACCGCAATGGATTTGTAGGGCTCCCTGACGTTCGTTGAGACAGGTCGGAGGTCCGGTGACTATTCGAAGGTGCATTAGCCCGGAACATTCTCGAAGTCCGAACATCGTAGTTTCGCCTGGGCTGCTTCCATCGAGTACTGAAGCCGGGGTACCCATTCTGTTAACTGGACATTTTGGCCTTTTTTCGAGCTTACTACCAGTCGCACGTCCTTTCTATTTCTGTGAGTCAGATAGTGAGATTGTGTATTGTAACTATCATCGACAGGCTCGGAAAAGGCTGATTTGTGAATTTTACCTAGCCCCAATGAACGGCAATCTCGGCTTTGTTTCTATCTTACCGACAGCCCCTTTCGCACCAAAAAACGATACACCCAGAAAGCTCCGAACTAGACGGTATGCGCCTCACTTTTGGTTCGCACCATCGGATATTGAGCGTATCAAAGGTATGGACAGCCTTCCCTTCTTGTCTCGAGTATTCGCTTACTTGTGTAGCTCTTTAGACCGAGACTCGAGGCCATCCTGGAAGTGATAGCACCAACAATACGCTTGCACCATGAGTGTCCTAGGTCCAACATACCGTTCAACTGCGCCTAATCCACGTAAAACCCATATGCTGTGCTGAAGTCGCTTGTGTTGATCGCCCGGCAAGAACCGCATCGGAAGGTTAATTTCTTCCTTGAAATCACGCCTCGGCTATAATTCCTGTCCGTGCTGTAATTTGGTATTTAACCACTCAGACGACAGGCCCTGAATACCAATTCATACTGCGACACTCGATGACAACCTACCTCCGCAGCCTCTTTGAAGGCAGCTTCAATGCGAACAAGAGGAGACCCTCTTCATTCCATGATTCTAAATCACGTCGACGCTCTTGTTCATGTGCCGGGAGCGAGACATCCTCCACCGTTTTACCTGTTGGATACGGCTCAGTGACAAAGAGAAATTCTGTATCCGGCACGCCCTGTCCTCCCCGGGATCTTTCACATGCGTCGCTGCCAACGCAGAAGAAACATCCCCACCACCACCACCACCGTCATCACGACTCAGCAGAGCGTCTAACTCTCATTCACGAACATGATGCTAGTCGTACGTTGTCGTTTTCCTCTAGCATTCGATCAATCGTTGATTCTCTTATCACAGAAACACCTTATCCCATATACATCCCCATTGAATCCTCCCATCCCTCACGAGAAAGTTCAACAGATTCATCAACACCAACACCACCCTCTAAGCCCACTACCAGCGTCATACACCCCGAACCTCGCCCCGCCTTGAAGAAGGAGAGAAGTACATGGCAGGCAGGATCACATCCGCGGACACAGCGTACGTCCTTCTTACGTATCCAGATAATTCATTATCGTTAAACCATTGCATTACAGACCACGTATCTTTCGCTAATCCGTACATCCCTGACGTCCTCCACATGCATCCTCTCCTCGCTGCTAGCCGTCTCAACCGAGCGCCCATATCATACGATGTGACATTCGCGCCATCGTCGACATCTATCGTTGACCGTAGAACTCGGACATCTATACCTACTCATACACTCTCCCAACCTGCCACCGACCCTGCGAAGTCTAACAAACTCGTGCTGAGATGCGACAGGTTCCCTTGGCCGGTCATCGTGTATCCTTCTCAGCGCCCTGGAGCAATAACTAACCTTGACCTGTTGGCCGCGGTGTACAGTACGCTCTCGGCACAGGTGACGCACGACGAGTGGGATGCGCTAGGGCATGGCACACACGCCCAACTGAAAGCGGCCAAGGCATACGAGGTCCGATGTGCGAAAGTTGGCGGAGGATGGGACGATGGTGTGAGAAGGATTGACTGGCTGGGCGAGAAGACGTGCTTGGTCGGCGTTGAGGTGGATAAAAGCGTTTCCGAGTGCGGTGTTGGGAAATTGGTCTTTGCGAAGCCTTGAGATTCGTTCTCGCGAGCCGGCGGGGTTATTAAGTATATCACATTTTTCGTATCTTTGGCATTGGGCGGATGCATATACCTGTAGTTGTATTGGATTTAGCAAATGAATTCTCAGTTTCATGGATGACGCTAAACATAGGTGAAAGTGTACGTCCAATCATTTCGACAGCATGGCACCAGAACTACATGTCTGACTTTGATTTTGACCTATACCATTTCCGTTCCTAATCCAGGTCTCTCCGCGAAAGAACTTGTCTCTGAGGCCTAGACCTCACTGACTGCAAGCCGGTACTAAATTTTATGACGCATACAAACCAAGGCGGTGCTGTGCATTGGTCGTGTCGTCATTTCTTTCACCGGGTCCGTATTTTCTCTCATTCTAATCGTTATCGCGTGTTACATTATTGAGACCTCAAATCATTGATATATTATGTAGTAGATTCTATTCGCATCATAGTTCCTACTTTCATACATCTCTCGTACTTTGCGACTGAGCTCCAGTGAAATAAACTGGTAGGAAACTTGTAAAGAAAATGAATTCGTTAAACACATCTACCATCCGAGCTCCTTCCACAGAGGTTGTACCACCGGAAAGCTCAAACAAAATAAGTCAACCCGCCGCTCCGTTTCGCCTCTGAATTCTTCATCGAACCGTTCTAGAGCAAACCGCTTCCAATATTTTGAGTTTTTCTCTTCCTGCGCACTCATACCCCTAAATAGGATCACTAACAGCGAAAATATATCGCTGACGTCTGCGTCATGCTTGTTCTGAAGACGAGTCTCTGTCGACCCCATGTTATCCTCCCACCCCTTCAATTTGTGGAGCAGTAGAATCGACATAGGAACGACGGGTAATCCCTGCTTATCGACGATGGCCTCCGAAAATATCATCGGAAGCTGCAATACCCCCGGTTTGAGAATATCGACCTTCGTTTTCTCCAATTTCCCATCGACATTACGATCGTGGTACCAAAGGACCTTCCACGTAGCACCAGATGTTTTGGTGTCTACGAGGTAGAATCGAGCCGAGTTCTTACCGACAAGGAATTCCTTCAGTGACTCTATATCGCAGGTATATGATGATACCAGGATGTCGACATCCTACTGCTTCATCAGTATCACGATGATAAGATGACCATGACAGGTCTTACATTTGGCAAGCGTTTGATTCCGTAGAGATAACCAGCTGTACTCCCCAATATCGCAAATGTGAATCCCTCCTCTCTACAGATACGAGTAACTTCTTTCGCGGCCCGAAATACTACGGCCCGAAAACCGCGCGCTGGGATCTCCGGACTCAATGGAGACGTCGGTGAGGTAGAAGACATCGTGCTGACTGGAAGTGAAGTACTGGCTCTCGGTGGTATAGATGACGAGCTGCAAGAAGACTGTGATCTCGCCCGCGCGTCGACCACATTATCGGTTACCGACAGGCTAATCATGGATACAGTGGGAACACGCGGTTCTGGTGCTCGTGATGGAAGAAGATGAAGGGTCTCAAAAGTCTCCTTAGCGTCGGGAATGAGGGCACACATTTTCTCCAAGAGAGTGCGAAGAAACACATCTTCGTGCTGCGACGGCAGATTGTGCGGCTCTATCGTTTTGAACAAGGCCGCGTAGGCTTTAGAAGCTGCGACATCTTGAAATATACGGCGCTCGGTTTCTGAATGTGAAGACACCGCCGAATACGCTTGCATGCACTCGAAGAGAAGTGCTTTAAGTGGAAGAATTGTGATAGCCTTCACCTCCATGAGGTGGCCCCACTTTATGTCACCCCTGCTGATGAGAGTAATCTCACAATTCCGTTTTTTTAGTGCAGGAGCCGTTATTAAGAACATTATGAGTGTATACCATCACGGTAGGCGTCTGCCAGCCACTCGGGATGTGAAATCTAGCGTCGACGGCTGACAATCGCTGCGCTAGTAGTTAAAAGATATTGCTGGTGTACTGGTATATGAATATCCAGTTTCCACTAGAGTGCAAAATAAACACATGAGACATGCAGGATTTAGCTTATCGTAGTTTAGATTTATACGTGCCTGCTTTATAGCAATAGGCGAATCCAGCAGGAGATACCAGGCGAGATCAGCACCAACGGCAGAGGGAAATCCCCAATGGCGAAGGCGATTCCGTACTGCTTTAGCAGCTTCGTGAATGACTGTCGCCCTAAAATTCGCATTCTTTCCTCCCAAAGCTGGCTGTATATACTGGAGAACAAGACGAGATGGTGACCGTTGCTAAGGAAGAGAAGACTCCGCCGCAATTTCGGTACCGTGCCGATCGCTGAATGACAAATATTAAATCTGAGCCTGGAAGATGACAATTTTTGGCAAACCTGAATTTTGAGCCTAAATGTAATGACTACCCTCCTCTCCAGAACTGCGGCTCGAGTGCTCCATATCCACCGTATCCATCTTATCCCCAGAGCCCTTCCTTCTTGGGCTCGAATGTCTGTAGTTAAAGCCAAGCGACGCGCCGCTCACCCACCGCCAATCCATCCTGGAACAAGCCCAGTAACGCTCTAGCTTATTTAAATCCCACTATTACAAGCAGCAATCGTGCTTCCTCTGAAGCGAGGAACACCGCTCTCGTTCCTTATAATAAAACGTCGAACCAGTCCTTTCCTTACACTACTCAGCCATCTTCTCCTTCGAACACTAGAACCACTAGGCCTACCCACGCCAGCTCATCTGCTCATTCGTCCAGCACTCGCGCCTCTTCCAACGCAAGCTCCTCCTGTTCGACCTGTTCGTCTCGTAGCTCGTCCTCGCGCTCCTGCTCGACCTGCTCGTCTACCAGATCCCGGTCCTCCACAGACGTAGTCCACGTCTCCGCAAGTAGTGTGAACATGTACTTGATCTACCACCGGCGTTAGATACAAACAAAGACGTAACCAAACCTACATACCCTTGTATGTATAAATTATAACGAATATCATATGCAGCCGTCCTACCCCCAGTTCGAGGATAACGACCCTTAGTTGTCTCGACTTTCACATCTACGCTATGCTAGATGATTTAGCCTTCACGAGGTAAAAACACGCCGGGTTCTCGGTGCAAGTATGTCATAATGGATGACGAGAACGAAAATACGACAGCACCCTTGGACTGGCATCGCAGAAAGCTCTGACCTCCTCTCTCTCTCTCTCACTCGGATAGTGCTAACGTCTAAGCAAGCAGCTTCACTCCTTCAAGGCAAGTCCATGAAGGAAAACATCGATATCAAATCTTGACGATTACAGCAGCTCTCAAAATAATTGACTGAATCGCAGAGGTGCAGGCCCAGTGAACCCGTTCCATACTAGGCATCCGGTCTGATATATGGGATGAAGGTATCTAACGATAACCTCACATTATCAGTAAGATAGATAACAGAGAAGCAGATTCATTACCTTGCGGACATCGGGCATCCTGGAGGGTTAAGTGAGTCTAGCGCATTGATTGGCAGTCTTGATAGAAGCGTGGCCCTGCAGTCGGAACGTTAGCACAAAGTTACACCCCGACCGAGAAGAAAAGAGAATCCGTGGAAAAATCGTTTCATCGGGGTACACAAGTCACCCTCTGAAAAAATGTACCATGGATATAGAAGATAAAACATCATGACAAGAAGAATAAGAAAAGAAAGCGTTGACAACGCTTACCCAAAAAAGAAGTAGTCCGGAAGCTTTGGAATCGCGAGCCAACGAGAATATACAATTCTAGAACACCCGGAGTGATTTCTACGCTTAGAGACCTAAAAAAGACCTCGTCAGCCAACCCTGAAATACCAAAAACACGTCGGGGTAACGATCTCAGTGAGAGAAATTACAGACACAACAGAGCTTCGCGCATCCAGCCCAACGGGGCCGTCGAAATGCAAGGGGAATGTGCGATTCATCAGAGGATGATGTACGAGGAGGAGGACTCACGTTGTAGCTTTAGTTTAGAGCGACATCCCAGGGAAAATGATGCATCGAAAAGCGAGTCCCGAGCTAAACGAAGGTTGAGTCAACCTTGCGAAAAAAAAGGGCATATAGCGCACCTCAGTAGCATTCCTCAGCGACGACGAGAGGTGACGCGAAATACGACGGAGGAGACGAAGTAGGTCTCAGTAGAGAGCAGCTTGGTTATCAGCTGGTGCGTGGCTTCAAGCTTCAAGGATGGTAGTAATGCATATCGTCCACCATCGATGACACCGCGCCATGCCTGAGCCAAAGTTAATTGGATGGAGCTTTCGAAAAGAGAGTATGTAGCGTACCTCAGTAGGACTTTATTTCGCAGCACATCTATTCCCCAGCGACGGTGAGACAGGAAGGGTTCGTTGACGCGACATACGAGGGAGATGAATTAGGTCTGAGTGGAGAGCAACCTGGCTATGAGCTCTGAGCTGGTACGAGTTGTCAAGCTGCACGTCGTCCTGTGCGCTGGTCCTCCAATCGAGAATCAAGCGTCGCCTGTTCACGCGCACGGGCGAGGTATGCGACTGCTGAGAACACAAGGTTCGATGAGGGTGACGCTTTCGGAGGTCGTAATTACGGGCACTCGCAGTGTATGGAGTCACAACGATTCACGTTCGCCAGCATCCATCCCAGAGGTGCTCCGAGTCGAAGGACGTTCAGGCTGAACAAGGAAATGTCAGGTCATTTGAGTCGAGGAAGAACGACGTCGCGCATACCAGCAGAGTCGAAGTCAAAGATGTATACCCAGCATGCCGCAGGTAGAGGCCAGTCTTCGCAGTCAAGTGCGTATGCATTCGAGGATCGTCGTAGTAAAGAAGAAACAGAAGGCGAGAAATTTTTCAAACAAGACCAAGCAAATGACACACATGATCGGCACGTTATTTAATCCTGATATTCGGCCCGGACGGCCGGAAAGCTATCGTCTTCCCAGCAAGCTCTCATCTTATTTTCCATTATAAAATTTATCAAGGCACGCAAATCCACTGGCCCAGACCTCTGTATTGATCTATGCCATTTATGTAAAATTGACAACATTTAGTCGAAAATCTACCCGGACCGACGCAATTTATGGGTTCTTAGAGAGGAGATTCTAGCTAAAAGCTATGGGGTATGGGGTATGGGTGATGTATGGATTACGGTACCCATGTCCCTACGAACAGAGTTGGTGGAACTCAAAACTTATGGGGTATTACGGATTATGGGTTACCAAGGCTATGGATTAAGAGAGCTTCGATTGTAGCTAACCAATCTTTCTTGGTTGAGGAAACCCACATTGAATGGCGAGCATTATCCCTTCAACTTTCCTATAACCCGAGGTTTTGGTGCCCCCGTTATGTCTGTTTGTGTTTACAAACTGATGAATCCTGACAAACTTGAAGACGCGGAGCCCGGTGACCTTTGGCCAGTCAAGATACGTATAAACGGTCTGAAGTGGCTTTTTGACTTCATTTGCATTATGCACAAGTCTACGATGATCAAAAATATTTAGCAAAGCGGCCCTTCTCATCCAATCTTGCCCGGATCTTTTACGATGTACGTACGCGCTTCCTAAACAACACCTTGCTTCTCTGATCGGGTATCTGATCACCAGCTAACCACATGGAGGAGGGCGGCCTATCCATCTTCACGTCAAAGTTCAGAAGAACATACGACATGAGAGCCTTCAACTCATTGACGGCGAAGAAACGGCCAGGACTACAGGATGGTTAGCTCTTAGAACTGATATAGCTGTTATCAAATCTCCGCACCATGCCGGTCGCCCAAGGCCAAAGAAAATGAAATCCAAGCTAGGAGTGACCATCCCGTGACGAATACTCTCGCCCTCTTGTTTTCTCTTGTCAAAAAACCTCCACGGTCTGAATTCTAATGGATTTTCATAGTTCCTCTATACAAATGTTGATGAATATGATGGTTATACTCGCATCCTGTGCCACTCACCTCGTCCGTATTCGTAGCCAAAGCAGCCACAGAGATTTCATTGCCTGCAGGAATGACCGTCCCATCTGAGAACGCGAAGTCACTTCGAGCGACGCGACGCATCCCAACTGTGCACAATTGTTAGTGTGAAGGCGATGCAGCGAGGAGAGTACCAACTCACAAGTGCCAACACTACCATACACTCTCTGCGCTTCCTTCAAGAAGCTATCAAGCTGATTCATCTTTCCCATTGCAACTTTCGTGAATCCTTCTGCATTGATGACGGATTCCACCTCGGTTCTGAGAGTCTCAGTGTACTCTGGGTGTATGGCCAAGGTATAGACGGCAGTCGTAAAGGTCTATCAAGAATCCAGTCAGTTTTTGGCCTGAGAAGTATAATCTAGAGTAAATACCATAGAGGTTGTATGAATCGCTCCCGCATTCACGCTGAGCATTCGAGAGCTTAAGTCCTGTATTGTGCGTCGTTCTTTGTCGCCATGAGTTGCGTCGATTAGCCATGAAAGGAGGTCATTATGTCGTCCATGAGAAGAATACTCAGTAAAACAGAGTTAGTAGAGCTTTCTCACCGGCTTTCCTGGCCAGTCTTTTCCGTGAACGTTTTCCTGATGCAGGCGTTCCCGTATGGTTTTATTCAGGAATTTCATCATCTTGGCTAAGGCACGCCTGCGAGGCGTGAAGAGGGTTCCCAGAAGTCTTATAGCGAAGATGTTTTCAGCCTCGGCAACATTGAGCTCTAGTAACTTACGGTTTGAGGATCCTGGGGAAGAGGTTAATGACACGAGAGTAAACGAAAACGTCGATAGTGAAATCAATGTTGAGTTTGAATGTAATCAGGATCATGGCCTTAAGACAGGTTGGTATCGACAAGGCACTAGCACTGGATGGCTTACTTACAGATGGGAAGTCCTATGAACATCCGATTGCTCGCTCTGCATACGATTTGCAAAATTGTCTGGTGTGCAGAAACTTCAATCCAGTCTAGAGTGATATTAGCCGGAGTCCCTGAAACATGCCCGGTCCCCGTACCGTCGGTCATGGGTATATTGTCTTCAAAAGCTGTTTTTATCTCGTCTTGAACGTCCGAAAAACAGGTAGCAATGTTCCGAGTCAGAGCGCCTCGTACAACTTCTGTCTGGTACGGGTCAACACTTATGTTGCGACCCATGGTATAATTCATTTGCATAAGCTACATATGCTGATTTGAGAATCATACAAGAGACCTCACATATAGAAAGGAACACTCACATCTACGGTTGCATCCAGAAAAGACAACTGTTCGAGCGTGGACTCCCGGATGTCATCAATCTTCTCGGCGCCACTCACGACGACCATCCATTTATCGATCAAGGGCACTTTAAACGCTGACCCATAGTACTACAAGGCAATCATTTAATCCCAAATGATACTAATGACACGACCCGGTACACACCTTTGTATAACCCTCTTGAATGATTTCCTTCCCATGAAATATGAACTTGAAGGCGTCTATCCAAGACGTTATGAGACCCGACGACCCCATCGTCGGAATGTGCTTCAGCTACAACAACGTCAGCATTCACCAGGTTAAAGGAGATGCAACAACCCACTTTCGCTCTGGTTATTAGCGCCTTTCGGATTTGTAGAGCAAGCAAAAAAGCAGTGGCTATAACCAGAGCGCGTAGCATGAAGGCCCTGATGTCTAGCCGCCAAAGGGGTTCAAGATAGTCTTCAAGCGCCATATGTCAGATGAGAATCGAACGGAAAGAGAGGTTTATATGTATACGTACCATGGGAATGTTGGCATCGTGCGAACATATGGAAGGTCACAGGTCCGACCAGTGCATATCAGAATCACCGCTGCCGGTAGGACATTTATTCCAATCGCATGGATGCTACAGCTGGACAGTCAGGGACATTTTCATGGATGATGAAAGAAGGTTCGGACTTCTTCATAAACCGTGTTTTGAGGACTTCGAGAGCACGAATGGGCTCCGAGATCGCCGAAATAGCCATAAACCAGCCACCAGTGTGTCTTAAAGTCCGTAAACCACGGTTTATGACCAAGTAAGAATCACTCTCTTCTCTCGTGTAAGACACATGCAACTGTCAAGCTCTATGCAAACAGCTATAATTTAGTACCCATCCGGACTTAAGGCATTTCCCAGGCAAGATCCTCTTCGCTGCCAGGTCCAAGTCCGTGGAGGAGGGGTCTAGAAGGACGGGACACTTCCCGCCTAGTTCGAGGGTTGTTGGTGTGAGGTGCACAGCGGCTTTTTGGGCTATGTGGCGGGCGCTGCGGGCATTGCCTGTGTAGAAGACTGGCCTGCGTTTGTGTCTGCGTTTATGAGAGAAGGCGAGAAGGCTTACTGTGGTCCCATTTGAGGTCTAGGAGCGCTGTAGTCTCCTCCACACCACCCTGGATGACCCTACATGCTCTCTGATCCAGGTATCGTGGTACGAGGACCCCTAGGATCTTTGAGGAACTCGGGGAGAGTTCTGATGGTTTGAGGACCCAACAGGACCCTGCGGCGAGCGCGCCGATAATGGGCATCGTGGCGAGAAAGAATGGAAAGTTCCACAGTCTTCCGGCGGGGTGTTAGTCAATACGTGTTGAATATCAAGGGAGGAAAGCCTCGTACGAGATGATCAACCCCACGCCCTTTGGTTCCCTCCGAATTCTAGGCCTCCATGCGCGGAATCAGTCTTTGCTGACTTTGACATCGTGTTCCGACGTCCTGAGCGGGAGGTCCTTCGCTGCTTTAAGGCACCGATCTATGGCGGTGTTGGTTTAGGTGAATAGACAAATGGGGTTATGATTCGGAAAGTGGCTGGGAAGGGAATAGGATAATATTAACTTATGAGGAGTGGAAACAAACGCTGGGAGCGTTGGAACGGTCCGGGTCTTCCGCGATCACGTGTACGATATCCGTAGTTTCCCGCATGTCCATAGCTACAACCGCGACTATCACTAGCTATTCCCATTCTCTCTCTTGGACGTAGCGATACGGTTCCAACGCATCCATACCCTAGGCCTGTTCTCACATCAGTTGAAATAAAGATCAATCATCAATTGCGTGTCTCCGTCTCCAAGTGTATTCCTCCCTGTGTCTGGCGAAACCAAGCATACCTCTGTTCACCGAACTCTAAGGAGGTATACGCTGGCAAAATTTGGTTATATTGATGTCGATGGTGTGTTTTCTTCTCCAAGTGTAAGCGCATCAGCCATCTCCTCTGTCACCGATGAAACCGACCGCGCCGAACCCAGGACCTTGACCTCTTCCTCCCTGTGTCCGGTCAAACCAGCTCTCTGGCTATATAATGTCACCTGTGCTGTGTGTGAATGCACTTCATCCTAGAGGCTGGTTTACATTTCTACCTTCTTTCTCGTTCGACCCGCCTACACGAGCATGCCGTACTCAGTGGGCCTCCAGGCCGTTGGTGCTGCTTTCATATCCGCAGGCTTCGCGACTCAGTTTACCACATCCGTCATTATCTTCCTTCTTATCGTCTTCGTCACTTCTTCTCTTCGCGATGACGCGCTCAAGGAAGACTCGCCTGCATCACTCCCAGGGCACTCACTCTTTGCGATAATACCTTTCTTTTGAGGACGATTTGACTTTCTCAATTGGGGATTCCACGCAACCGGACAAGCCATTTTCCAATTCAAACTGTTACGAGTGCATTCTCGCGTTTACCTCGTTCTATGACACACTCTGATTTCAACTCTATCATGTGTTAACGCCTTACAGAATACAGTTATTATTGTATCAGGGGAATCGGCTCGTCAGGAGTTTTTCACAGCCAAAAATTTCGACCTGACGGAAGGGTTTAAGATCCTGTCTGGGGCCGTGAGTGTTCCGCCTGCCTGCCTTGGGCGTCGTTACTAACCGCGTTTTCACCGCAGATACCCATGGTCAGAGGAGTGACATCTGACTTACAAACGAGAAGGGTTGCCCTGATTCATAAAAGACTCGCCGACATCCAGCGCAACGAGCCCCTAAGCCAACGTATGTACTACGCGCGTTACCAAATCGTACACTATTTGGCGACTCACATAATTACTCTTGACAGTGATTCCATTGTTATTGGAAGATTCTCGACGAATCATGGAGGGATGGGGAGATTCCGGAGTGTTCGATCCTTTCAAACAAATCTACGAGGTACGTGTTCCCATCTCTAACGTTGTTATGTCGGCGTTCCCCACTAAAACTTTGCCAATAGCTCACGTTCCAAACGACTGTTCGAAGCCTGTCGTGCTCAGAAATATCGGATGATGCGATCTTGGTATCACGTCTAAAGAACTTGTATGACAAGCTTGATACTGGAACGACACCGGCCACCGTGTTGATCCCATGGGCCCCTACGCCATCAATGGTGCGAAAGTTGTGGGCGACGAAGGAGATCTATGATATTATCGTTGCTGCAATCAAGGCCCGTGAAGAGAGCGGCGTGCAAAGGGACGACGCGCTGCAGATGCTCCTGGACTTTAAAGACGAGAAGCTCGTTGTGGTCGGCGTGAGTACCTTTACTTCTTGTCATCAAGTTACGGCTGCTGACGGACCCTTGGTTCAGTTCATCATGGGGCTGTTGATCGCTGGCGCCCGAGCCACTGGCACGGCAGGCAAGTTGATCTTCCAATTGGAGTTTCTGAAAAAGTGCTCTAATATTAGTCTTCTTTTTTCAAACAGCGTGTTGGCTACTCACATATCTCGGAGGCCATCAGGAATGGCGGGCAAAAGCATATGACGAAATCCAATCACTATTGGCGGCCCACCCTGCGCCAGAGGACTGCGCTTCCATATCCAAACAACTCGCCACAATCCCTCTGGAGACTTGGGAATCTTCGACACCTGTACTAGATTCCATCATTCGGGAGACACTTCGAGTCGCTCAGCCGCACACTGCTATGCGGAGAAATTTGGGGCCCGATACATATATTAACGGCAAGCTGATCCGGTCTGGGGCGTATGTGGTGTATCCCTTTAGCGATATCCACCTCGATCCTGGGCTCTATCCGGATCCGTGGAAATTCGACCCCGCACGGGAGGAGACCAAGGTGCCTTACGGATACGTCGGTTGGGGTGGAGGTGGGTAACCTGGCGTTGCTTCTTGACATGGGCTAATTGCTGATTGCTCTTGGTTAGGCAAAACTACTTGTCTAGGGACTCGTCTCGCGAAGTTGGAGTTGAAGCTAATAACGGCGATGTTACTGCTTGGGTTCAACCACGACATCGTTGATGATAGGGGAGTCGTTGCGGATCCTCTACCAACTCCCAACTGGAATGACATTCTTCTATGTCGACCACCCAAAGGAACGTGCAATCTGAGGTATTCCCGCACGGCCACTCCTCTGTAGGATTTCCATGGTCAATTTCTGTTATGGTAATGCCGCGACATCCCCTTTAGGCCTTCCGTTTTCCTTTCCTTCTTACTTACCAATTACCTATGTTGCCATTTCTTAACTATAACTGCGCGCGCGCACGCCGCAGCTCCATGTACTCATAGTGACTCTAGCTTCAACACGCTAGGAGTCAACAGAATATTCTCGCAATCGGAACGAAGGAGTAGTGACATAACATCGGTGGACACATTGGCTTTGCCTAGTGAAGGATAGCTCATGGTAGACACCATTGCTACTCCAATAACAAGTTTCATTGACAGCGTTCTTGCTTACAACGGTCGTTTCTCCATGACAGCAAAGAACGAGAGTATCTGAAGCGCAGCCATTTCGGCTCGTTTCTCCCGGAAATCTATACCTGGTACCGACGAGAGTGACCGACTCGTGAGCTCTAAGGAATATCGTATGATCCAGGCTGATGAAGAAATGTTCGACCTAGAAGATATTCAAGACCCTGTTGACTCATCATAAGTCTGGTTGGTGTATTTGCGTGCCTTTTTACAAAAATTTTGATTAACTAAAGATAACCTCGCATCATCAGTAAGATAGACAACAAAGAAGCAGACTCGTTACTTTGCGGACGTCGGACATCCTGGAGGGCTAAGTTAATCTAGAGCACTGATTTGTAGTCTTGATGGAAACGTGGCCCTGTGTTAGGATTCTGCCGAAATCAGGACATGCGAACATGAGGCAAGGAGTGGTGACCGAAGTGAGGTAAGATTGATTAGAAAGAAAGTATGTCGTTAAGGGGTAAAATGGATTCCGGCGAGGGTTCGTGAGAAGACCTGAGAGGTCCGGTTTGCGAAATAAAGAGATCAGTAAGCGCGAAGCAAATGCCAGAGGGAAGTAGCCGGTAAGCGCATAGAAATTACCGATATAGAAAGCCTGTAAGCGCGAAGCAATCACAGGCCGTAGGTGAAGACAAGCACTAGGCGTAGTCTTCGGATTGGTGTCGGAAGGCGCTAAGCGTATCCAACAAGTTGTTCAGTAAGCACTAAGCATAGCTGAGGGTTCACGCAGCGAAGATGGGTTGAAAGTGATAGATTGGCGGAAAGATTCTTTTACAATGGTATGTACGGTGTTTATATATAGTAGAAAGGTTCGAGTCACTAGTATTCTACAATGTTCCACTGTATTCTAGCATCAGTAAGAAAAACAGAGAAGATACGAGAGAAGACCGGGAAGGCCGAGTGAAGTCATGTGTTGACTCCATTGCGTACCAGTAGAGACCAATATCCATAACATCCTCCAGTATGAACGTCAGCACACACCCTGACCGAGACGAAGGAGAATCACATTCACGAAAAATAATCTCATCGGATAGGTATGTTCACCCTCTGAAAAATGAGTGTAGATATAGAATATATAACATCATGCAAGGAAGAATACGTAAAGAAAGCGTTGACAATGCGTACCTCAAAAAGAAGTGATCCGGAAGCTGGAAACAAAGATATGCACAGAAAGCCCATCGTTACGCTCCTTATGGTCTGGCGGCCCTGCATCGTGAACGTCAGCACGAAGTTACACCCTGACCGAGACGAAAAGAGAATCAGTGGAAAAATCGTTTCACCGGGGTACAGAAGTCGCCCTAAGTTGAAGAGGTATGGCATATATAACGTCATGCAAAGAAGAAAAGAAAGTATTGTGCACTTACCTCGAAAAAGGTTACCAGGCCGGCTGCGAACGCCTTGGAGTCGCGAGCGAGCCCAGAACGATATCCGATATTGTTACGCTCCCTATATCCATCAAAGACCTAAAAACGACCTTGTCAGTAAACCCTGAAAATGTCCCAAACAAGCCGATGTAATAACCTCAGGAGAAAAAATAACTACGGACGCAACAATTTCACGCATCCAGCTCAACGGGGCCGTCAAAATGCAAGGGGAATATGCGGTTCATCAGAGGATGGTGAGTGGAGGGCAGGACTCGCGGTTTTCTGAGAAGAAATCCATGCCGAAACTTGGAGAGTATGCATCAGAAAGAGTTTTCATGAGTCAGGTCCTACCCGAACGTAGAGTCAACCAACTGTAGTTATCGAACAGAGAGTATAATGCGCACCTGGGTAGCGTTTCACAGCCTAGCATTCCCCATAGACGGGAGCTATTGACGCGACACGCAATGGAGAGAGACGACGTAGGCCCGACCTGGTTAAGAGTCGATCAGCTGGCGGGCATCTTCAAACGTGGTAGCACCGTACGACATCGTTATTATGGTGGTGCACGTCGACCGAGAGCGCATCCCTGGCATGAATCAACCGTTGCCTATCTACGGGGCGTAGCATGTGCGAGCAGGCATAGGTGCTGAGAAAACAAGGCTAAGATTCGACAAAGGCGGGATAGTGATTTTGGGCACTCACACCGTATGGAGTCACAACGGTTCACGCGTCACGTTGTCTAGCATCGACGCTCGAAGTAGAAGGTTCTGGCTGAACACGAATATCAAAACGTCGTAGTAGCATATGGCATACTGCGCGCTGGTCTTTCGACGAAGATCGACTGTTGCCTGCCTATCCACGGGATAAGGAATGTGCAAGGTGTCGGCGGCCAGGCATATGTACTGAGAGAATAAAGGCCAAGGTTCGATGAGGGTGACGTTTTCGGAGATGGTGATTACAGGCACTCACAGTGTATGGAGTCACAACATTTCACTTTCACCAGCTCCTGCGCGTATCCATCCCATCCCATAGGCGCTCGGAGTCGAAGGAAGTTCAGGCTGACCATGAGCATCAGACCATTTTCGTCGAGGAAGAACAACGTCGCGAGTCTAAGTCAAAGACGTATATACCCATCACATTACAGGTACCGGTCAGTCTCGCGTTCGAGCTAATTAGTGGGGATATGCATTCGAGGGACGTCGGTGGAAGGAAGAGAGAGAGAGGGCACAAAACAATTCAAACAAGACCAATTAAGAGACACGTGACTGACGCGTCGTTGAAAGAATTTCGGCTTTCGGACCGTATCTTCCGTCATACAAATTCACTTGCTTAGACCTTTACATCGACCTAGATTGTATGTAATGCTTCCGTGTGCCATTACAGCGCACGGTTTATCAACTTTGAACAGATGCAGCCGAGGTTCTTGGCGTTTCAAAAGACGAGTCTGATGTTAGGAGTCATGCTCTCCAGGGCGAAAAAAGTGAGATAGAACCCGAAGTGAGTGGTCTTCCCTACGAATCCCGCGTGCTTCGGAAAAGTTTTGATTGCCCACCAGGTATCAAACCAAGTTTGGCGAGCAGAGGTATTCTCGATTTCATCGGAGAAAGAAAACAGAGCGAGAAAGTGAATGACTGGTCTACCTTACCGATATCCTTGCGTTTTGATTGATCATAAATCCAGCCATGTATCAAGGATCTGGATTAGGCATAGAGTTCAGCGATCTGGAGTATTCTCGATTTGACTGGTCACAGGGAGGAAGAGGTCAATGTCCTGAGTTCGGCGAACAGCAGCGTGCTCGTTTTCTCCCACCACAGGGTGAGAAACGAGGTATCATATACTGAGACTCATATATCTCGGTGAACGTGCGTACCAGGCAGGGAGGACTAAAGTGACTGAGGTACTTGCGCTTGGAGACGAAAACATGCGATTGATTGAAATATTGATCCTCGTTTCAACTGATGCGAGAACAGGGTGTGGGTGTGTGTTTGCTTCAGCATCCGCTCTCACAATACGTTATCTTACTGTCCTTCCCGACGCGTTCTTCCATTATCTGAGTCATAAACCCGTTCGTCCATCCACGCTAACCAAAAGGAGCTACCCATCTTCCCCGGTGCGCACTTTCACTAATGCAGGTACGAAAAGGCCGCTGTCCCATCACGGTGACTGTAACCCCCTCCGTCACTTAATTGAACTGAACAGCATGGTTTCATCTCGCCACGATCAGGTGTCAGGCGTACTTAGGTTTAGTACTAGTCCTGGTTAAGTAGTTCGGGGGTTCAAGCACGAATGCTATGGGATGCCACTAGTTGAGTTTGGTTGGTGTAGGTCGAGTTACTTTGTGTAACCGTAGGTGGGTTGTTTGTTAAGCGGTCGGGGACTTGAAGAGTGTTGAGGGTGCGTCACGAGCGTGCCTAGGTAAATTGTAGTTAATAAAATAGGCGCGTCACGAGCGAGCCTAGAACTGTTTGATTGATGGCGCGTCACGAGCGTGCCGAGAAGTGTGATTTGATAGAGTCGATGGCGCGTCACGAGCGAGCCTGGAAATGTGGTTTGTAGTTTGAGAGGGCGCGTCACAAGCGAGCCTAGAATAGTTGTGTGTGTAATTCTTGATATTTCTCTCAATAGGGCTTGACGTAGTCAGCTTTGAAAAGTATGTGTGTAGTGTGATGGGTAAAGTGTCGATAGTCTCATTCTTCTTTTCTACTCTATTTATACTTACTATCTTATTATTACCATATTGGATAAGGCTGTGCGACGCTGTGCCTAACCAGTGCGCACGACTTTCTCTCTTTCTCTCGATTCTTCTCCCTTCTTCTATCACCTTCTTAGTCTCATTTCCATCCATATTTGTCTCCGGCTTTACTACCGATGCTCAGAAGTAGGCGACGAAGGATTCTTCGCGGCTCCAGCAAAGTCGCTGCCTCAATTCAAATTGCAGATATTATCAAATCCCTCGGCGAGATGGTACCAGTCGCTGGTTCCTTCATAAAGGGTATCGCTGAGACAGCAAGGTTGCTCTTGGACGATATGGAGGTCAGCGTCATTTAATATATCCCATATCCTTGTATGTTTTCCTGAGACTGTCCTAACAGAAATTCAGAGCGAACTCAGAGGATATGGAACACCTTGCAGGCGATATCATAGACATCATAAAGATCATCCGAGATGCTGGAATCCAGGTATCGGCGATGCCCGAAGGAGTGAAATATGCTGTAGATCTGCGAGCAGCCTGCCAAGACTTCCAAGAGTGATTATGTTTCCTCGCAGTTCAATCTACATTCCTGATATCGTGATATAGGTTTCTAATCGATCTCTCAATGCAACTCAACGAAATCAAGCGTAACAATGGCGGTCTTCAGCGGACAGTAATAGATTTTTTTGCTTCTCGAGACATCAGAGAGGATATCAGTTGTCACCGAAGGGTGGTAGATAACGCCAGGGCAAACTTTCAAGTTGAGCCTTCTCTCTTTCCCTCATGAATCATTAGCTGATTGGCCTGTGTGAAAGACTCAATTATTATTGAACCTTTTTCAAGTCGCGGTGAATTCTGACACTACTATATCCCGCATGAACGAGCAAATATCAGTGCTCCAGTCGACTGTTAGAACTTCAACCATGACCGTTCCTCCGATATCGACCTCAACTCCCATCGTTGACCCCGTTAATTGTGGAAGTGAAACACCGTTGATGAGGCAGTACTACAGGATGCCTGGAGGTATCGACTTGGTGGAGGGTTTCCAAGAGATGAATATCACAGCGCATTCTACATCAATATTCCAGCTCGTAGACTGGTTCTATCAGCTTCAGCACCACTTTCTATTCATTTGGTGGTATTTTCATTTCCGATGGACGTTTTCTCTTAGTTTTGAAATATCTCTCGCATCGGTGAGTCGTTATCAGATTACGCCGTTTCCATGTCTGAGCGTCAAAGCAGCCATCACACCGTGGCCTCCGAATTTGGGCTGTCATCATTGGCATCGATGCCTATCCAGGCAATCCGCTCCATGGTTGTGTCACGGACGCACTCACAATGGAAACATATCTGATCAAGAATCTTGGCGTGCCGAGAAGACAGATCCAACGGCTTATTAGCTCCAAATACCCATCGTCTAGGGGCTCCTCCATAGGTGTAACCAACTACTATTCTCATCCCACTCGTGCGAACATCATAGATACCCTCCTCGGACTCTCAACAAACTCGAATATTAACAAGGGCGATGGCATTATCATCTTCTTCGCAGGACGCGGTTCAAGCTATTATCCACGTGAACATTCTACCACAATCTTTGGAGACAATTCCGAACTTTCCCCTCTCATGTCGACATCAGTAGAAAAATGGCATCAATGTGGCTGTCCCATAGAGGCGCTCTGTCCCATTGACCGTAATACCATTGGTGATAATGGCGTTCGCATTCCTGACATCAGCGACCGAGAGATGGTTAACATTCTCCGTATTATTTACCTTTCCACAGGCGCCTACATAACCCTCATCCTGGACTGTGGCCCAAGGGGGTACCGGAATTCCGGCCCGGAACACCGGGTAGGTAGGTAGGTCCAGCCGGAGGTCACGAAAAAAAAAAGTTGACCACCGTTTTGGGGGTCTAAAAATGGACTTCAAGGGTAAATTTTAGAGAGTACATGATACAATATATGCTACTGAGTGTGCTACTTACCTTAGGGCATCATACCTAGCCATACCAACACTCAGTCAATGCCATTGCAGAGTGGCCCTGCTGACTGGACATGATGACATTATGACATCCCATTAGAGCGCAGCCGTGATTTAGACTTGATAGTGTACAGATTATGTTCAAAACACTTCTAATTGGTCGGCCGAGGTGCTCGCCAAGTCTAACCAAAGTACGCATAACCGCCCAACAGGGCGAATAGTATTACAACCCGTTGCACTTTCGTGTTTGAGCACTGGGTGGGACAAACTAAACTAATGTACAGGGAGGGTAGACTAAAAACACACG